GGGGGATCTCTTGGATATTCCCTGTGGCCTGGCCCATGCCAACTGGTGTACTCCGCTACGATTTACCTCCCCCAACAGATCCAGGTCCACGCCCTAAACAAGGGGATGCGACACAGGGAAGGTTGTCCCTACCTCAGACATTCAGGCAGTAACATCTCACCCCGCCAAGCCAGACCCTCCTATCACTAAATTTGGGGCATCTTTGTCTTGGGAGGGTCACAGGGAGTCCTGGAACTACCAATGCATAGGATCCCTTATTTATCACTGGGGTGGATGCCCGCTTCCCAGGGCCTAGTGGACTGTTCCTTAACTTTTGTTCCATTGGACCTAACCTGCCACCGACGGCTGGGGCTCCTATGGTTGGGGTGGCGGGGGTCGGGATGTTTGGGGTGCCGTGGGGACGGCACTGCATTTGTGGTGAGTCAGTGAGCATGGACTGTCTGAGTGACATAGGTTTCATTAATACCAAAGAAATAACTGTTTAAGAGAGTGGGTGGCTGAGGGAGACAGGACTGACGAGAGGGAGGGCACAGAATAGAGGCCGGCTAAGGGACAAGGGAAGAGAGGGGAAACAAACAAAAAAGAAAAAAAACATTGCAAAGAAACGCACTGGTAGTTCGAATTGTTTAAAAAAAAAAAAAAAAAAAGTACAAGAAAAAGGGGGTTCTGTATCGGATCCTTCGGTGCCCTGCTGGTTGTAGTACTGGGGCCTGCCTGGGGTGGGGGAATGAAGTGCTGGCTTTCTGGAGTGCCCCGGGGGGAGGGGGGACAATTCAACTTATACCGCACATGTACTGATTTTTTTATAATTTTAGTACACATCTGACACAAATACGTGGCTAAGAGTTGTACTTCCCTTCACATCTTTCTCTCAAACCACCCTTCTATTGGCATTGGTACAATCTGGCTGGGCTCAGCTGCGATCCCCGACCAGAGTCATGTGAACTTCGTCCCTGCAGGGAGTTGCCGCATCTTCTCCGCTGGATCACTTCAGGCTGAGTTGGGCGCCACCTGCTCCCGCAGTCACACGAACACCCTTCACATACAGAGGTCTTCTCACCTACTACATAGGGTCCACCTGGGCCCTCTAACTTCTCTCTCCCAGCTACTACTCTCTTTCTCCTCTGTATTTTCAACCGGCTGCCCCCCTGCCTAGTGGTGGGTGGGGAGTGGCTGGGTGACCCTGCGGGGTCTCCGTGACCTTTTTGACTATTCCCAGTGGGACTCATATAGGCTCGTCTGGGTGCCCTCTGCTCTCATGCAGGGGCGGGGTGTCCACAGGTGAATCGCAACCAATCACAGTTCATCTGCAAAACGCTGTCTAAATTATCCACTTTCACATAAGGTATGCTCGTCCTTGGAGGGAACTTTAACACGCCCTTCAACCCCACAATAGATTCTTCCTCCGGATACAGTATCATACCCCAGAGTGCCATTCGGAGCATACACAAATCCTTCCAAGCCCTGCGGCTCATTGACTGTTAGAGAACGAAACACCCCGCTGACAGGGACTATACCCACTTCTCGGTGACCCATTCTAGGTATTCAAGGAATGATATGCTGTTTCTCCAACAAGAGCACCTACCCAACCTGCAATCCACCCTTATCGGAATATCCACCTGGTCTGATCATAGTCCGGTTTAGATAGTGATTGGTTCACCTGCCTCCCGGGCCCGGATGAGACCCTGGCGGCTAAATGACTTCCTCTTGCAAGACCTGGAGGACCAGGATCAAATATCGCAAGCCTTGACTCCATATTTTGCAGACAATCCTCCTGGGGAACAATCCAATGTCACCATCTGGGAGGCACACAAGAGTGTCATCAAGGGCTCTCTAATCCAGATTGCAGCGTGGAGGAAGGCGGAAGCTAGACAGCAAATCAAAGACCTAGTGGAAACAATCTCACCTTGAGTCCCGACACAAACTTCTCGAGACCCAAGGGAAACTATTAGCGATTCTATCAAGCCAACACTACCAAACAATGCAGTGGCCTTTTCTATCTACATGCCAACAATGGCGGGAAGCTTTTAACACGCATACTTCAAGGTCAACAGGCGCAGGCACAAGTCTATAAGATCAAAACCACCTCCAGACAAACGACTCAAATCCCTGAGGAAATTGCAGCGGAGTGTCGCACCTTTTACTCCTCCCTATACAACATCGCTCGACCAAAGGAAGGTACCCAGGCTGGAACCCTAGAGCAGATAAGAACCAGATTCCTAGCCAAATACGTCACAACCACCCTCCAGACGGATGATGCCGAGATGCTTGAATCCCCAATTACAGACGAACTCCAGCAAGCCATCAAAGCTTCAAGGTCGGGCCGAGCTCCGGGGCCGGATGGCTTGACACTAGATTACAAAAAATTCGGCTCTACCCTGATCCCAAAACTTAGCAAAGCACTCAACAATCTAAGTTCTAAGCGAAGCTCCCAGGCCTAGTCCACACAGACGAAACGGGGTTCATCCCCAGCAGAGAGGTGCGGGACAGCATATTACGAGTGCTCTCCATCAAACATCTCGCACGAAGGACTAAGACACCCATGCTTCTCCACTTAACAGACGTGGAGAAAGCTTTTGATTGGGTGGACTGGCCATTTCTCATGCATACCCTACGAAGCTACGGCTTCGGGACGGGTTGGATGGACTGGATGGGAGCCTTTATGACTCACCGAATGCACGAGTACAGGTGAATGGAGCCTTGACGGACGGATTTTTGATCCAGAATGGTACCCGTCAGAGCTGCCCACTTTCACCACTCCTTTTCACCCCAAATTTTGATGGAGTGATTTCCGTGCTGTACCAGCATCTACTGGCCGGTCACCTGGATCAAAAATCATACCTTCAAACACCTGAGAAAACATCCTGGGGAAAGTGCTGGAGACAATCTTGATATTGGCTCACAAGAGCACAGTGAGAGACCAACTACAAACTCCTTTCTTCCTGGTACAGAACACCTGAATACCTGCACAGGATCTTCCCCACAGTGCGCAACACCTGCTGGAGGTGTGGAAGAGCCAAGGGAACGACTCGACACATCTGGTAGGACTGTCCTCAGATAGTTCTGTTTTGGAACGCGATCCACACCGAGATTTCCGAGATCCCAGGGGAGGCACAAGCCTTCGAGGCTGAACAAGTACTTCTTCACGTCACCCCATCGGCCGCAAAAATAAATAAATCGTCACCTCCTCAACACGGCCAGAAAAACGATACCTGCCCTCTGGAAACAGGGTAAGACCCCGACAGTCGAGCAGTGGCTAGACAGAATTGTAGAAATCCAATCCGCAGAAGCGCTACAGGCGTCACTAACAGGGACTGGCAAACATGGAATGGTGGCGACCCTGGTTTGAATATATGGCATGAACAGGCACCGGGGAAGTAGGGGCTGGCCTGTAGGTTTCAGAACCCACACTGCACCTGCGCTCCTCTCTTACCCTCACCTCCACCTGCACTAATACCCTATTCCCCCTGACTTCTTTCTCATATCCATCCTACCCTATACCTTATGAGCACTCGTTCAGACGAGTCCACCCACTCCTGGGTAAACCCATCTAACAAGATATCATATTTGGGGTGTCTGTGGCCTTTCCCTTAACCAGGAATGCGCACCCTAATAGTGTCATCCGATTGCTACAAACTGAGAGGGGTTAAGCACACCTCCAACTGACATGATTTGTTCTCCCATTCCTCAACGGATCTACCCCATTGTATGCGGATCATCCGCTCCACACAGCTAACCATAGGGGGTTACCCACCCTTGTACATCAGCATCAGAATTGCTGATTAGTTCACACCTTAGCATACACTAGCTGCTCTTTTTCACTATCCTCTACGATAATGCAACCTAAATTCCCTGTATCGTTACAAGATCGAATGATCATGTATGAGACCTATGTGTCTCAAATACTGCTTTTCTCTCTTCATGTATCACAGTAAACGCATACGCAGCACAAATTACACCCACATTAGAAGGGTTACATAGCTGGAATGTTTGTATGAACGAATGGTTGCTTTCCAGTAACTCTCATAAGAATATCATTCTATTTTATTGGCTTTGCGCACTGTTGAATGTTTCAAGGAGGGACCTGCGAGTCTCATGTATTGCTAATTTCTATTTTCATATTGCTAAACATGTATTGCCAATACAAATAAAGCCTTGTTGAAACCTGAGAGGAACACCCCTAGCACCACAAAATCATATGGTATTCCACTCTCCTCTTCTTTGGCTCAATATTTCCACTTTTTCCCTCTTGGCTGTCTCTTTTTCTGACAACGTATACGTAGAAAATTCTACTTAGTTTCATTATTTAAAATATTTTTTGTGACTGCTCATTATATAACACCCCTCCCCCATAAACCACCACACACAGCTATACAACCTTGAACTCTGATATGCTTATTCATGTGCAATTGAGTAAGTTGAGGACAAGAATTATGTATGACATCACCAGTGTGTTTGTATGACTGCTAATTCTCTCCTTAAATATATTGGGAAAAGTGGGATTGGCTAACATCTCAGGCAGTTAATGTATTATTAACTATTACCGAAAGATTTCCTCAACTTCTTTGTGGAGAACATTATCGCATGGTCTGAAATGGAAATAGAAAAACACAGGTAAAAGGCAGGAAAAGGGAAGACATGGCAGCGCAAATGACAGTAATCTAAGTGCAAAATGAGGCACACCTAAATAATTGATTATCAGTAGTATTTTACTACTGTGATAGATTTGATTGTGCTATGTATATTGTTTATTTCTTGAACAATAAAGACTATGGCAGTTAATGGTTGATACTCTCTGTATGTGTGTTTTTCTATGACTGCAAGTGACAGTAAAATGACCAAAATCACACTGCAGATAGGAGCAATAGGGACGACATACTGTAATGGTGAAAAGGAGAGCAGTTAAGCCCAAGATGTTGGAGGGTGGAGAAGAAAAGCTTTAACGCATGATGGACAATTTTAATTAAACAGAGTTTAAAAAAAAACAAAAAACAAAGTATCTTTCTTAAATATTTAATACTTATTCAAAAACAAGTGTTTAGACACAATTATGAAAATGGGAGCAACTAAAATCTTTTTTCTTTCCTTAAAAAAAACAACAAAAAAAAACCTTTTTTTTTTTTAACCAATAACAAAATTATGAATAAAACTATTTTCACGTCAGTCTTGCATTTGGTTTCCACTGAATAGTCTAGAACACAGTGTATATTTCTGTGACAGTCTCTTCTTTGTAGGAACCACTCAAACCAGTTTGACAGCAGGAAAATATTTGTGTGCAGAGAAGTCAAATTCAGGTGGAATCTAAAACAAACAGGAAAAAAAAATATTAAATATATGCAGGCCTTTCAGCAGGCGTTACTATGTTTTCCAAATGCAAAATTTTGCTTGTGGAATAACTAAAGCTCCTGCATGTCTGTAAGTCCAAAACAAGCCTAGATACAAAAGTAAACAGTTTTGTATCTGTCATGCCATTATGCCAGGAGAATGTCCGGTTTCGCAACTTCTTGCTTTCATAAAGCAAGTTGCATAATGAACAAATATCCCAGAAGTAGTGCTTTTTTATGATGTATTTTTATTTAGTGTAATGTATTTCTATTGAGATACAGAGAAGCCACATTTTTGCTTTATATATTTTAATTTAAAATAATAATAAAAAAAAGCGTATTAATAGTGAACAAACAGGAAGCTCTCCAGCTATTAAACCAGCGTGAATGACATTAGAAGTCAACAAATGGACATTTAGACTACATGGATGCAGCAGTATTTTTGTTATGTGGATCAACATAGATTTTTACACTTTCTTCCTACTTCAATATAAACATTCTGCATGGAATGTTTTTTTTTTTGTGACTATACAATAATCCAACTATATAACAATTTCTAAAAATATGTTTGCGTCAATCATTCAAATAACAATGAAATTATTCATGTGAAGCATTTAAAATGATAATTGGATTTATTCAATTCTAACTACTTATTGCATATCCATCTTCACTTTGCCATTCTTGGAAAAACTGCAGTGGGCTGGTTACTAATTAAATCCTGTATTTTCACAAAAAAACTTGACAAGTGTACACAAAGGGGGCCTTTCAGTTCTCAGAAGATAAAGCTGAGCACAATTTAGTGATTTTTATATAATCGTATAACACAAAGTTCACAAAATAATCAGATAAATTCCAAAGTGCAAAAAAAAAAAAAATGAAAATAAAAAAATTGCATAAAATATGTAATAAATTAGTGAAAAATTACTGTGCAATAAGGCTCAAAACATACCATATGCCATACCTTATGGTGTCTGTTTTTTCAACTGTATGTATGTATCTACAGGTTAATTTTAACTGTTAAATTGCAAATATGCTCCAAAGTAAGAAATTGGCCCATTAAATCGATTTCAAAATTCTAAGTGTTCAATGTAAAATATTAATGCCTCTCATATGGCAGTGTAACACTGAGGTAGTATTGTTTTACTCAGAAATGTTTGAGAATTATTTGGTTACAGTCACAGGGGCACACATCAGATTTACAAAATGCCCAGCAAAAATACAATATGCATGAAAAAAGAAATGCAAAAAAATAAAAAGAACCACAAACATTGACATAAACTGGTGAAAAAATGGAAGCATGATAAAGGGACACTCCAGATGTCTAATGCACTTTAGCTTGCTAAAAGCTTTATGTGTGAAGGATGTGTCCTTTTTTTTTTTTCATTTTACAAAAAGTGCAGATTTAAGAAGAAATTGACACTTTCATAAATTATACAGGCTGTTTTTAGATATATTCTCAATAAAAAAAAAATGCATAGTCAAATGCATGTAAGTTTTATTTTGGGGTATATCTACTAAAATGTTATTTGTATTTGAGCAGTGGAGTGTCCCTTTAAGGCACAATTTGCACCATATGAGTTACAGTGGAGTGTCCACACCATTATGGCCTTCCATTTGTGAAAGGAATTTTGACAGTCAAACGGCTATAAAACCCAAAAATGAGACATAAGCCTATCAAAATTCCAGCTTTAAAGACTGGAATGGTCAGATCTGGATTTTTGTACAGACATAGTACACATCAAGTTTATGAAATACACATTTAAAAAAAAAAAAAATAGTCTTGTGTGTGTAATAAAACAATTTTACTACAATATTTATCAGAGATTGTCTGTTAGATGGCTATGTAAAATGTGTCAATAGGTTGGGCTTGCTTGCTGGTAGATTAGGACACAGCTTGCAGGAGCTCCTTAGATACTAGTGATTAATAAAAGGACGCTATTAGCACTCATACCACTTATTGAGAAACTGCAATAATTACACTAGAGGTACTTTGGGGTGGTTAGGCGACTTTTGACGCAACCTGTGATATTCCAGGTTTCCGACTACGCAGGAGCAGTGGGTGAGCGAGGGTTATGCCTGGGGCAGATAGAGTGGCGTTTGGGCCAGACTTGGACTGTTGGGACCTGGCCTCTATTTTCACGCATATTCCCTAGTCAGGGAATAGAATGATTGTGCTATGTTTATGGTCTATATACTCAAAGAGCTTGTACTACTTGATTCTGGTTTGTTTATTTGAGCTGTTACATTAGATCATTTAATTTTATTGTGCCCAACATTTTTGTGCCCATGCTGCTATCTAAATGTACTACAGTAGTTAACTTTTTAACTCTCAACAGTATATCTCCTTTTGTGACATTTTAGCAGCTCACACATTTAAATTTCTCCATATATGCATACCATTTGCAAATGTGGACATCAATGTCAGCAGACTTATTCCCATGCATAGTCCAGCGCCGATCATCCTCTTCAGCTGTTGGTCTCGCTGCTGCGGGGTCTTCTCAGACCTCACAGTGAAGTCAGTAATGATGACTGGACAGTGGCTGAACATGCTAATTTAAAGGGCTGTGTGCAGCACTCTGAGTAAAATACACAGCTCATCAGTCAGCACGGGGCAACTAATTGTGTAACCAGCAGGGGAAACAGTACCTCCTGGTAAAAAGCCACATGACAGAATAATTCTGTCTTGGGTCCTTAAGGGTAGGACCATCATAATGGAATAATCCGGTCATGGTTCCTTAATAGGTTAAAACAAGTTACTAACATCCCACTCATATTATTTAGGAGAATGTAGTGACATTCAAACTGAAAACACAGAAATGTGCATGCTGCAACCTTACCTTTGAATCCTTTTTATGACCTCCAGCAAGCAACTTCATGACGACAATATTGTTTTTGGCAACCTTTAGAATCTCAGTGACCTAAACAAAAAAGCAAATATATACAATCAAAACATTTAAATAGCAGACTGTCCAACATTATGCATAACCTAACAAGGTACCAATGCATATATGAAAGATATAGCAGAATATTTGAGGTCACAGAGACCCCAAAATTTATACTCTAACTTGTATAAAAATGTGTCTTTCTCACTAATATTTTTTAAATAAACAGTCATATCAAGTTTACTCAATGTATCCTGCATATATCAAAACTAGATGTTGGGGTTTAGATATAAACAGCAATTGTTCTAAATGTGAGCCAATCAACATTAACATCCCATGGTGATTGTTCCAAGTTTAGTATTTTGCTCCAGATTTTCTCTAATACACCAAACCCTAATATGTTTGGCCTCAGTAGGTGTGCAGTTTACAACTGGGTAGCCTCTGCTTTAAAAGCGTCATTAAATAAATTAAAAGATTGGTGCTCGAGAAAAAAAAAACAAAAACAAAAAAATCTCACCTCTTGATCCTGATTGGGAATATTTTCTAAAATCATCCTTGCTTGCTGAAAATGTTTGCTAGCTGCCATGAATAAGTCTGAAGACTGAGGAGGAGGATTATATTTATTTAAATCAGACATTTCCTGTAATAAAGAAGAAGCAGAAGACAAAAAAATGTGAGTTACGTATAAGTTTTAAATGAAAATGTCAAATTGTACAAATACTGGATAACAATTTCTAAAAAAACAACTGTTGATGATTTTATTATAGTGACAGGTAAACTCTAGAATAACCCAACAGAAAAAACCAAGGCAAGCATATACCAGGTCCAAATACCTACATGTATAGGGTATAACTAGTATTCACCAATATATCATCTGTGCCATACTGCAATACTCCTGTAATACACACGCGCGCACACATTATTTTGTGAGGTGCGCAGATGTGCACAAAAATTAAAGTTCTACACATTTAGGCAAGCTGATAAATGACTTGCCACTGCAAGCATGGTGGATCCATAACACAAGTATCAGAGTTTAATTTCTACTCGTCAATGGCTAGTGGAATCTTGAGCACAGATGTTTACACACATGTTGTGGGAACTGATCTCAGCTGGAGCCCCAAATGGGGGTCCTGGAAAACCTATTTCTGAGATTGCCACTACTTCACTGTTAGATATATTTGTCAACGTTTCTATTTGCAATTTAACTTTCATAAGCACCTGATGAAAGTTTAATAATACACTGAAACATTATAAAATGAAAAAATATATTCTTTTGAAAGTCAAGAGGGTGTGATTCCCTTCAACAAGACGTAGGCAACCTTCAACTTTCCATATGTTGTGGGCTACACCTTCATTGATGCATTGCCAGCATTATGAAAGATGTAATCTACAACACGTGGAGTGCAGAAGCCTGCCTATCCCTGCCTTAAAGGACCACTATAGGCACCCAGCTTAATGAAGTGGTCTGGGTGCCAGGTCCAGCTAGGGTTAACCCATTTTTTAATAAACATAGCAGTTTCAGGGAAACTGCTATGTTTATGAATGGGTTAAGCCTTCCCCCAAAGCCTCTAGTGGCTGTCTCATTGACAGCCACTAGAGGCGCTTGCGTGCTTCTCACTGTGATTTTCACAGTGAGAGCACGCAAGCGTCCATAGGAAAGCATTCTAAATGCTTTCCTATGCAACCGGCTGAATGCGCGCGCAGCTCTTGCCACGCGTGCACATTCAGCCCAGGAGGAGGAGAGAAGGAGGAGAGCTCTCCACCCAGCGCTGGAAAAAGGTAAGTTTAAACCCCTTTCCAGAGCCGGGCGGGAGGGGGACCCTCAGGGCACTATAGTGCCAGGAAAACGAGTATGTTTGTGTGAGTGTGTGTGTAAATATATATACATTTATTGAGAAGTAAGACCTTACCTTAAACTGCAGATAGTGCACTGGAGGTGGTGTGATTACGCTGTTAAATGGCGCAAACCTGTGCTCGTATCGAACTTGTTCACTGTCCAGCTCAAATTTTGGTTTCCTAACTTTGCCATCCATATCGAATGCAATCATTGTCTAAAAAAGACATGATAAAAATCAACAACAAGTAGAAGTTCATGGGAGCTTTCATCAAGTTGAATACACCCTACTCATACAAAAATGAATACGTTTTCAGAGACTAGGTTCACTTTACATTTAAACTATTGCTAGCAATATGATTCGTTTATATCCCCTTTCTCTGGAAGTAATTGATTCTGAATAATATGGAGCTTAAAATATAATAATTGACAATAATTTTGGACAAAACAGACCCCCGAAGCCAAGGTAACAGGGCCATATAAAAACACAGACAACAAATTAGATCTCAGAAAAGGATATGTGAATTAGTTATCTATTTACTGAAATAGGATAAAAACAAGAAGTGTCTGCATATACCTTGTACATCCCAGCACACATGTTTTGATAAGCTTGGCTTAGAGTGATCTCTCTACTCAGAGGGCGCACTGTGGAAAGAACACAGACTAAAGTGAATAACACTTGCATGCAAACTTGAGGAAATATTCTATCAATGTCACATGCATGTGTACTTCCCAAATAAACTGAAAACAAATCTGAGAATTACTAATGTTACTGAACAAAAAACTATATCTACTTGGAAATGCTTTTTTTTTTTTTTTTTAAAAACACTTACCAGGTTTCAAGAAAAAAAATGAATAATATTCATTACAGAGTATCTTATTTACTTCTATAATTTTAACATTCCACAATGAATGGGCATACAGACTCAATCATAACTGGGGCATAGCATTTTACTAAGAAAAAGTGAACTCCCTTAACCTATACACTATTCAAAATGTTGTACTAGCAAAAAATACGCACACAATAGCATATATAACAAATACACAATCTAACTATATATTCACATTTATGCCAATATTTCTTCATTCTTTACACTTACTCCACAGTGTTCTTTTCTTATGATCATCTTGCTTTGATACTACCCTCTTCTGTTCTCTGTGTGTGTCTGGGTGTACTGGACAGTGTGGGAAAGTGCCTGTACATGTATGTGGGGTAGTTAGTTTCATGGATGTTATAACAATAGTGCAGACTCACACTTACAGTGAGCTGAAAGGCAGAGGTCTGGCAAAACAGAGTATAGTGTAAGGTTTACCAACCATATTCTCTTGCTACTCTGTCCAAGGACCAAATGCTGAACCCTGTATATATCACAGTATTCTCACATCAACCATAAAATCCTCTCTCCAACCATGTTATGGACTCTCCTACCCCAGCTATGCTGAATACTCCTCCCACCCCAACAATACTAACATCTGCACTTCCTTTCTGCCATGTCCAAAACCGTTTGTTCATTTTGCCAAAAACCATTAATTTGTCTACTTTCTCTTCTCAAACTCTTACCCATATCTCCTTCCTCCCTTATGACACACAGTACTATTCAAAACCTATTTTGAGTATACCTCACATTTGGCCCTAACCCCTCACAATACCTTTCTGCCCGCAAAATGATTGCCAATATTGTTTGCCCTTCCCGCCATATCAAGTGCTATACTCCTCCCTGAGCACTTATTGTTCTCTGTCTCAGCTATGCACCATTACTATTCTAGACCTCCCACTCTCTACCATGCCTGTACCATATTTTGACTTCCTCCTTGGATCCCAACCAACCTTTTCTCTTACTTCCAGTCATGCCATGTATCTCCTATCTCAGCTTGGGAACCAGGACATGTGATCTCTCCCCTAAAATTCACATGCATCCACTGCAGCAGCCATGTTGTTGGCTACAGAAAAAGCTTCAGGAAAGTATATATTCATCTACACATTTGCTAAGAATTTATAGCAGTTCATTCTATGAATTTCATTTTAGTCACTGAAGCAGGTCTTTTAATCTTTGCATTTAGTTGATGAGAGGCTCACTTTCAAATAAAAATGATGGTTGCTTATACTGTTCTACAAATGGTTTTAGTGGCTCTTACAATTAAAGCCTTATCAAAACCAGCAGGTCAGAGCCACCAGTAGAGCAAGTCAACTATGTTATAAAATAAAAGTGTTTTCACTTGATGCTTTAATAGACAAGGAATGACTATATGGTCACTCTGGTGATGCTCTGATAAAAAACACTTTAATCTGCATTGTACAGTATTCAGGGAGCTTTCTGCAGCAGCCTCTTTTGCTCTTCAGTTTAAGTAACTGAGTCAATTAAAGTAATTTGCTTTTGAATTTAATTACCTTTCTTTTTCTTCTTTGTTTTTTTGCTGCTTCTGCCTTTCTGCTGCTCCTCCATTATACGCTCTTCTGCCATCTGGGAGCTATCTGCTCGACTAAGCGTGGACATCAACCATGCATAGAGGAATTCTGACAGGTACCTTCAGTAAGAGAACAAAAATGGGAAAATGGTTACCCATACTTGCCTGAATTATCTGTTACTGGTCATTTCAATGGCAGCATAGCTAATAGCTTAAATTAACACTCAGCAGTCAGGACAGGAAGTATCAAACAAATCTTATTAAATTCCCCTCCCTATGTAGAAACCTCAGTCTTATTACAAAGACTTTACTGAAGGGTGGGTAGTTGATGCTGCCACAGAAATAGCCAGAAAAAGAAAATTGAATAAAGTATAACAGGATATTAAGCTTTGAAGATCTCATAAAACAGTACAACAGTATATGAAGCTACCTAGATCTCATTAGTCAAAGAAAGCTCAAATGTGTATCTGGGCTCTGTCAAATAAGATACATATGAATAAGCATAAAGAAAGAAATGGAAAGGTGGGTGGGTGAACAGTAACAAAAAAAACAAGTGCAGGCAAGCCTCTGTATAGAGGACACTCCAACTCCAATTACCAAAAACAAAACACTAGAAAGAACAGGGCGCCACAATCACTATATTGGTATATAAAAATAAGGGAATGAAAAAGAAATATAGATGGTGAAGCAAAAACAGCAAAAGTTTATTGATAAAAAATGTAAAAAACAATCACAGCACAACATATGTGCCAAACATTAAGACTATAAAAGCCACAATAGGCAAGGAACCCTTAGGTATAGCAGTTTAACAGGACATGATGCTGAACTGGGCAGTAAAGTGCAAGTGCTAAAGTGCCTGTGAAGAGAGAAGAAGCTCCTGAGGAAGTCAGACGACGAAACGCGTTGAGCACGATCTGGGACCCTGTACTTTGGTATTAGCTGCTTTTATCTTGTATGTTTGCTGAATTTATATACTGCTTATGCAGCATTTACTTTGGGCTAATTGTACTGTACTTGTATAAGTGATTGGCTTAGTGCATTTTTCTTATAGGCATCTTGCACTTTAGCACTTGCACTTTACTGCCCAGTTCAGCCTCATGTCCTGCTAAACTGCTATACCTAAGGGTTCCTTGCCTATTGTGGCTTTTATATTCTTTTTTTTTTTTTAATACAATTTTTTATTGATTTTCAAGTACATGGGGTACAGAAGAGAGAAGGGAGTTATAAGGATAACAGACTATGTCCGCAATAGCAATATACCTGATATACGTATACGTAAAGTTGCATAGTATAGCTTTACACTCACATATTGTCTGTCTGTTGTTAGGTGTTTGTGGGCAAAGCAGTCTGGTACGGGAAGATAAAGGTCGGTTCTTTAAGCACGGTGTTGCGTGCTGGTACTGTCTGTCAGGCCATATATAACGGACTCAAGGTGGATTTTGGGGATTTGTGGCTTGGCTGTATAAGCATGTCCACTGTTTCCACGTTGAGTGGAACTGCTGTGATTCTATACTATGGGTCATCGTCATTCGTTCATAGACATGGTATTGTTGAATCTTATCCCATAGTTGTATTTTAGATGGGCATAGGTGCGACTTCCAGTTCGTCGCTAGAAGGTTCCTGGCCGCCAATAACGTGATGGCACATACCTGTCTGTGTTCTCTAGCAAGGTCACTGGGGAGCATAAGCATGAGGTATGTTTGCGGGCTTGGCAACAGGTTTGCCACGCCCAGCTTACCCAGCAGACTCCTAACCTCTGTCCAGAGGGGTTGAATCACCGGGCATGTCCACCATATGTGGAGGAATGTACCAGTGTCTCTCGAACACCTCCAGCATGTCGGCAGTACGCTGGGGTATATTTTATGCAACCGACTTGGCGTCATATACCACCTATAGAGTAGCTTCCTATGTGCTTCTATGTGCGAGTAGCATCTAGTGAGTTTTGAGAGGCTATTTAGTGCTCTGACCCAATCTTCCTCTGAGAGTTGAAGGGAGCAGTCCTCCTCCCATTTAGTCTTACAGAGGGGGATGTGTTGTGGTAATGTGGTTTCCCACATTTTGTAGCAGAGGGAGATGGCTTTTGGTTTGTTTGGTGCGGCCCAGCATCTGTCCAAAATCCCGCCTACTAATGGTGATTGCTCCCGAGTGCTGTTGTGTAGGTTCACATGAGTCATTATGGTCCCTTTGAGTCTTAGGTAGGTAAATACTTCCCTCACCGGTAGGTGCCATTTGGCATGTATATCCGCGAATGCTATTACACCCTTATTGTCTACTATGTGTTGGACGTTGGTGATTCCTGCCTTAGTCCACCTTGTTAGAGGGAGGTCGGGGGATGCGGTTTCTAAGGCAGTCAGTGGTGCCCGGGTATGAAAGGAAAGTTTGCACCCCATTGTGGCCATAAATGTGTCCCATATGTTAAGTGTCAGAGACGTTGAGTGAAATAGGTCTAGTTTAGGGGTCCGTAGGTGTTTAGGCGTCCATAGGACGTCAACCATGTTTAGTGCTTTTAGTTGGGCATTCTCCATGTCTACCCAGCTGATGTCCCCTTTAGGAGAGTGTAGCATTATGCCAGCTGTTAGCGCTGTCGCTTTATAATATTGGTTAATGTTTGGTAGTCCCACTCCGCCTTGTTTGACCTGGGTGTACAGAAGTCTGTGCGGGATCCTGGGCTTTTTATTGTCCCATATAAAAGTGTTGCATGTGCTTTGTAAGCTCTTAAGCAGAGGTTGTGATACTTTGAGAGGTAGCATACGGAAAACAAAGAATTTTGGGTAGTATAGACATTTTATAGGCGTTAATCCTTCCTAGCCAGGATAGGTGCACGTGTTTCCATTTTAGGGTGTCCGCCTTGCACATGTGTGGTAAGGGTAGGTAATTTAATTTTATGACTTTTGCTATGGATGTTGCGATTTTGACCCCTAGGTATGTGAGGGATGAGAGTCTCCAGTCAAATTGGTGTTGTCGTTGTAGTGTCTGTGTACGTTCCAGTGGTAGGTTAACCGTCAGTGCTTGAGTTTTATCTTGATTAAGTTTATAGTGGGAAACTAAGCCGAAGTCGGTAAGGGTGTTCATGAGGTGTGGCAAGGACTTCTCTGGGTCTGTCAATGACACCAAAACGTCATCGGCAAACAGTGCCAGTTTGTGTTCCTGGCCTGTCACTATTACTCCTCTTATGTCAGGACTCATACGAATCTTTAGCGCCAGAGGTTCCAGCGATAAAATGTAAAGGAGGGGGGACAGGGGGCAACCTTGGCGCATCCCATTAGTGATAGAGAATTTGTCAGACGTGAAGCCTCCGTTGGAGACCTTCGCCGCGGGTGCGCTATACAGCGCCTCTATCCCCCTGATCATTTCGGGCGGAAATCCATACCTCCCCAGGACTACAGACATGTACTTCCAATTGAGGCGATCAAAGGCCTTCTCTGCGTCTAGCGCCAGGAGAAGGCCCCCTGTGTTGTTTTTTTCCATGTGTGTCAGTATGTTGAGGATTCGTCTGGTGTTGTCTGAGCCCTGCCGCCCCCTGACAAACCCTGACTGGTCGTTATGTACTAAGTTTCTGAGGAGTGGTGCTATTCTGTTACTAAGGATCTTGGCGTAGATTTTAGCATCCCCATTCAGTAAGGAGATGGGTCTGAAATTCTTACAGTGTGTCGGTGGTTTCCCTGGCTTGGGGAGGGTGGATATATGTGCTAGGAGTACTTCTGCCGGTAGGGCTCCTCTGTCATTGCTCTGTCTGTATAGTTTCAGCAAGTGCGGGGAAAGGGTATTCGCAAATAATTTGTAATAGGCATTGGTGAGACCGTCGGGTCCAGGTGATTTGTCAACTGGTAATTTTTTGATCACCAAAGTGATCTCCTCTAAGGAAATAGGCTGTCGTAGTGATTGTATTGCGGTCGGTGTCAGAGAGGGCAAGCAGAGGTCCTGTAGGAATCCGTCTATGTCCGCTACGGTCGGGACCTTAGTAGTACCCTCGTCACCAAGATTGTACAGCTGACGATAGTAATCTGCAAACATATTAACAATTTCTCGTGGGTCAATAGTTTTGTGACCTTTACCATCTGTGAGGTAGGCAATCCTGGAGGCGATCGTTTTTTGTTTCATTTGCGCTGCTAGTTTAGCACCGGCTCTGTTCCCTGCCGCGAAGAATTTGTGTTTTGATTTTCGTAGGAGGTAGGTGGTTTTAGTTAACTCTATATCTCTTAATTGTGTTTGTAAGCTCAAAAGTTTCCGTTGTGTCTCAGGGGTGGGTGCATGTTTGTTGCTGTGTGTAACATGTTTGATCTCATTGATAAGGGCTAAGTATTGTGCTTTTTGTGTCTTGAAGGCATAGCTTGCGTGCTTTATGAAGCTGCCTCTAATGACCGCCTTGTGTGCTAGCCAGACATAGTCCGGGTCAATGTTCTGCTTATCATTGTCCTCAAAATAGTTTTGTAGGTCCTGTGTAACTTCCCGGACTATGTGTGTGTTCGTTAACAAGGTGTTGTTTAATCTCCAAGTTCTCTGGCCAGTCTGAGGGAACCGGTCCTTGAGCGTTAACGTGATTGGTGCGTGGTCGGACCATGTGATGTCTCCGATGGTAGTGTCTAGTATCTTAAGGAGGGAAGTGGTTCTAACCAGGAACCTATCTATTCTGGAGTAACTATTGTGTACCGCCGTATGGCATGTGTAATCAGTTTCATTGGGGTGTGTAATTCTCCAAGGGTCTACGTAATCATGTGTTGCTAGGATATCGCGTATGTTATGCGATTGTGCGAGCCGTCTCTTAGAGGTGTTGGGTGTTATGGTATGTGAGGCAGAGGAATCTTTAATGCTATCCAGGAGAAAGTTAGTATCGCCTCCAAGTATTACCTCCCCAAAGCTGTACATATTCAACAAGGCAAATATTCGGTGCAAAAACATTTCTTGGTTATCATTAGGTCCATATATATTCATTAATGTGAAGGGGTTGTTGTTAAGGTGGCACTGAATGATGAGATATCTACCTTTCTTATCACTAATCTTGCGGACCAGCTCGAAAGTGACGTTCCTACTTATTAAAATAGAGACTCCTCTTTTTTGTGGAGCAGCAGGAGTGATGATCTATCGGAAACCAGGGGGAGTTAAATTTGGGCCGTGAGCCCCATTTAAAATGGGTTTCTTGAAAAAAGGCTACCTGTGCCTTACATTTTTTGGCTTCTAAAAGTGCCAGTCGTCGTTTATGGGGCGTGTTCAGCCCTTTGGCGTTGAGGGAGAGTACAGTGATTGACATCCTTACAGCTATAATTAGGTGGGCAGGGAGGTAAAGGCTATGCTGTGCTACTCAGCCCCTAGTGTCACCTTACTTTGTCGATTTCGTGGGTGGGGGTTGGGGGGGTGTGGTGGGGTTCAACATACAACAGTACAACTTGAACTATATACAAAACCCGTTAGCCGGGTGGCTTAGTGCAGGAATCTGCTGACGGGTAATGAAATGGCTTACTAAGTAAGCCGAGTGGGGCTCTGTGGGTGCTGACAGGTATTACCGGTTACGGTTTTCCTATGTTATATATATATATATTTTTTTTTTCTCTCGTTTGGGTTATATTGCCCTATTACCGGCAATTACCGGGCGTAACGCTATATGTGTGCGTCTCTCTGTTAGTACACCGCACTGGCAATATTTCTTAACAGTACAATTAGGTCTAGGAAAAGGGAATAACAGTGCCAATCAAGTAACGTAAACAGTAAAGCGGTTTTCCGCCTGGGTGGGCTCTCGGCTGTGAGACACCTTGCAAGTGAGCACAGCTGCGAGGGTGCACCAGGGGGGAACCAGTTTGTATAGTTCTTGTGTGGGATACATATCTGTGCTCCATCAGTGGTGTTCTACATCCTTGGGCCTCGTTTGATGGTGTGGCGTCGTCGGTGTATCCGCCGCGTGCCATGGGATAGGTCGGTAGTCCTGGGGTTGTTTTCTGGGTGGTGAAGGTGCTGGCGGACTGGCGATGTCAAGTCGAGCCATTGGGATGTTCCATTCTCTGAGTAGTTTTGCGCCGTCTCGTGGGGTAAAGATCACTAAGTCTACTCCATTTCGTTTCAGTAGGATTTTCGTGGGATAACCCCATTTGTACGGGATAGCTGCATTTCTGAGCGCTGCGGTTACAGGTGCAAACGCTCGTCTCTTGGTCATGGTTGCCGCTGACAGGTCAATGAACAGTTTGATATCAGCAAACGGCTTTGGCAATGATGGGTTGGTTCTGGATGCTTGCATTAGGCGGTCTTTGACCTCAAAGTAATGTATTCTGGTAATTACATCTCTCGGCGTGGTTGGAGGTAATTGCTTCGGCTTCGGTAATCTGTGAGTGCGATCTAGGCGCAGGTCTGAGGTCTCCAATGTCGGAATGAGCGTCTTAAACAGATCTTTAACGAATGTGGCCAGATCTTGAGGGCCCACTGTTTCAGGGACGCCTCGTAGCCGTATATTATTTCTTCTGTCCCTGTCCTCGTTATCTGCGATTTTGCTCTCTAGGAAGTGTACTTTTCGCTGCAGTGTCGTGTGCGCTTCTGCCAGCTCATTATGCGCTTCTCTCAGCCCCTCCGTTGTCTCCTCCAAGTGTGCTGTTCTGTCTCCCAGAGCCTGGATATCTGCCCTGACGTCCGCCGCCATCTTGGAAAAGTCCGACCTAAGGTTGGTCTGGAGCGATTGTAGCATGCTGCTCACCGAGGCATCAGTGGCTAAGTGGGTGTTGGGGATGCCAGGGGGGTCTAGGCTTTCTCCACTCTCGTGATCCGAGGCGGAATATTGCGCTCCGTCGGCGCCATCTTGGACGCCATTGTTCCCCATCGTGAGGTGAGAGTGCAGCGTCTTCTGTTTTAGTTTTTTGGAGGATTTAGTGGTCATGTCCTCCCCCGTTCCCTCGCCGGCTTGCGGGAGATGTGGTAGGTGAGTATCGTTGGTTTCCACGCTGTGTAAGCCCACGGAATGGCGGAGCTTCCAAATTATGCGACTGCTTCCATTCGGAGTTAAGCCACGCCCCCGTGGCTTTTATATTCTTAATGTTTGGCACATATGTTATGCTGTGATTGTTTTTTACATTTTTTATCAATAAACTTTTGCTGTTTTTGCTTCACCATCTATATTTCTTTTTCATTCCCTTATTTTTATATACCAATATAGAGATTGTGGCGCCCTGTTCTTTCTAGTGTTTTGTTACATATGAATAAGCAGCAGATTCCTCAGTCCAGATCCAAAGAATGAAAATGAGTAAATAGGGATAATCTGAACGTGAAATAGTACATGAAATAAAATAAATCCAATACTTTAAAAACAATTATAAAAACAGTAAAAATAAGTACAAGTCGGATTCATACCAGGGAGGTCCCTAATAAACAATCTCAGAAAAATAATAAACATATAAGAAGAAACAGAGAACAGTGGAACCCCTCTAACATTTCTGTCAATAGACACAGAAAAAGGTTGGATGGGGTTTCATGTTTGCCACCCTAAAACAATTCGGAATCATGGGAGCAATATTACAAGTCATGACCACTCTACAGCTCTCCATCAGCAAAAAAGGTTACAGGCTCAGGAATTACATCACAAAACTTCAATATCAAAAATGGGACTAGACAAGGGTGCCCCCTTCCCCCTTTACTATATATACTGGTGTTAGAACCCCTCACAATATTAATAAGACAAAAAAAAAACAAATCGAAGGATTTACCAATTCGTTAGGACAAACCAAACTAAATATCTATGCAGATGACATCTTACTAACACTAGAAGAACCAAAAATCTCGGTCGCAGAGCTATTGAACGAGAAACAATTACTCCAAAGTATCAGGATACAAAATGAACATAGAGAAATCAACATTTATAGCAAGAAATATGAATAAAAGAGAAATTAACTTTCTTGAACAAAACATTGGGCTCCCTGAAAGGAAGGAAAGGCTAAAATATTTGGGTATAACTATAACCTCAGATCTAAATGATCTAATAGAAGTCAATTTCTTACCTCTACTAAAAAAAACTAATTAAAAATTAAGGGACTGGAAAGGTGTGGGCTTTTCTTGGTCCGGTAGGATCAACATCCAAAAGCATACATTCTACCAAAACTGCTACACTTGTAGAGAATACTCCCTCTCAATTTCCTAGAAAACTGGCTACCTTTACTTCATTCTTCCTTTCTAAAATTCATATGGGGCGGTAAGAAAGCAAGAGTTAAAATGATCGTTTTGGTCAGGTCAAGGCAGGATGGAGGCCTGGGGTGCCCAGAAATCTTACAATATTATTAAGGCTAGTAGATTTTGTCATATAATGCTCTCACAAAACAATGCAGAAACCCAAGGAACATGGTACAAAATGGAAAAAGCAAAAGCTGGGGTAGGAAATTTATCCGAACTATTTTGGGTTCTACACGTAAACTAAAAAATTATTAAAGAGGCACGAACCAAATCTCAGATACTTAAAGATTTAACGAGATGGTGGGATTAACTCACAAACCGGAAAGGATTCAGAAATAGAATAGACGCACTCCCCATTTTCTAGTTTATCAGATATGTTGGACAATATAAATATAGACACTTTGATATCGGGAGGGGATAAGGGAATTTAAAAATATAACAGTGGAACATAATCTTAAATCCTTCAACCAAATTATGGAGGAATTCAACATTCCCTCCAGAGAAACATTAAAATTTCTGCGAATTAAAGGTTTCTTAGCAGAATGTCGCCTGAAAACCAAGATGGGGGAATACCATAAATCTTATACATCCATTTGAACTAAAGAATTCTAAAAATCTAATGGCAAAATGTGCAAAAGTTATATACAGATGGAGACATGATAAACCAATAGGACTAATTAATAAACGGGAAAAAGAATTACAAGTATATATAGAAGAAAATAAATGGATAAGCTCTTTAAATAAACTAAATAAAAATATACACTGCCTAAACCTCACAGAAACTCAATTTAAACTTTCAAACAGATGGTACCTAAGACCGAAACGTTTAAAGAAAATCTTCCAAGAGTTATCAGATAGATGCTGGAAATGTAATATAAATGAAGGCAACCTGATCCACATATGGTGGCAATGCGCACCCATAAACAAACTCTGGAAAGAAGTAACCTAGATAATATACCAAATAACTGAAATAAAACTACCTCTTAAGCCTGAAGTGGTCTTACTAAACATGACAAAAACAACACAAATGTTAATATTGCACATAATCAAGGAAGCTAAATTACTATTAGCACGAAACGGGAAAACAGGAACAATTCCACGCACCAATGAATTAATAATAGGTTATATGGCAAGCAAGAATGGAAAAGGGTATTCTAGCGAACCTAGAAAGTAGATATGGGCAAATAGAAGACTGGGATACATGGATAAATAAAATGGAAGAAATATCATTGCAGAGTTAAAATCACTCTTGTGACTCCTATCTTCTGTTTTGTCTTCTTTTTTGAGCAAGAGACATCACTGCTATGTTATCGTTACTCTTACTATCCTTCCTTCTGACTTTGGATCGCAACAATTAACAAAGATAGAGTGTAGGTCCAGCCACAGTAAAGGGTATGGTTAGACAAGAGAAGGGGAGAAAATAAATGAATGCAACCCCACAACGGGCAGACTTGTACTATACTTAATGTCTCAATAAAGAAATAAATTACAGGAAAAAAAACAAAAAACACAAGCCCCCTCCCCCCGCCACAAAATAAATGTGAGACTTATCGCTGAGCTCATGAAATAGCACTTTGGGTGATAAATGCTCAGTGCCTGTTACCACTCTCCTTCACACAATGCTGTCCACCAGTCTCTGTGTCCTGAGCTATGAATTAGGGGAGACAATATCTGGTTAAGTACCTTAACCCAGAGTATACATCACACTGCTGCTCACTTCAACGCATTTTGCCTGATTAATTGGGCTTTATCAAGATGAGTGTGCTGCACGCCCTTTCCTCCTGTAGCAGCACACACTTCAGAAGGAAATTAGTCTCCTGACTGCCAGACACTTACCATATTTTCATCGATTTTTCTCGGGCTGGTGTATTTTTCCTACTGGGTTGTGCAAAATCAGCAAATGTGACAGTTTCCATTTAAGTCTATTTCTGTAGAAGAAGCAGTCCTTTGTCGCTCTCCTAAAATGGTTTCACATTTGATGATTTTTTGTACAACCCAGTAGGAAAAATAACATATGCCTAGAAAAATCAACAAAAATATGGTAAAGTGTCTGTTAAAGAGTTTTTATTTGGATTTTTCACTTAAGTTTAATAAATAATATCACACTATATATTACATTTTTTTTTTTTTTTTTTAAGGTGGTGATTAAGCTGATGCTTCTGACATACACTTTAGTGGATACTGAGTGACATTTACTTGGATACCAAGTTACACTTAAACTGATCATGACTGACACATTGTTAGATACAAAGTTTTATTTCTTTAGGTGGAAATATGACAAAGGACTAGCAAGAAGAACTTTACACAGTAATTTATGATTATTTTTTTACTTTTTTATAATTGTTTTTTTAAAGGTTTTAACCACGCCACTCCGGTCTCACGGTGCCTGTCCCTGCCTCCGTGGCTGAGATCATCAATGTTGATGATCTCAGCCAATCCAATGCTTTATTTTAGGAAGGCATTGGGCGGTTTTGAGCATCTGCTGTAAAATTCAGCAGTGCAAAACTCGCTGCCCAATCAGCATCTCGTCATTGAATCAATGTATCTCTGTGGGATGCATTCAGCGTCTCCATGCAGAGCGTGGAGAAGCTGAACCTAGATGCTGCACAATGTGCAGCACTGGACTAGGAAGCACCTCCAGTGGCCATCTGAATGACTGTTAAGGGGTTACTAGGTGGCAATGTAAATATACTTAGCCATAGATTTCCCTAACGGGGTGAGCCCTCTATGAAATGTAATGTACACATACATTATTATTTTTTTAGGGAGTTCCCTTGTGTGTCAGTTTGTTGGGGTGTGGGTGGAGTCTCGTCTGTGGTATTGCAGCTCCTGGGGCCTAAAGTACAACGGTTTGTCAACAAAAAGAACAAGTCAAGTGAAAGTAAAAACAAACAACTTCGAACTGCATACGCTTTTGCCCATAAACCAGAGAAACTTTGTTAGGCTAAGAGGTTTGGATTATGAGGCTGTGAGTGCCCAGGTGTGTCTGGGACGCTTCAGAAAAATAAAAGTGTAAAGTTGGAGTCCAAAATAATTATAAGGAACTTCAAACCTCAACTGGTGTATGTCCTTAGGACGATATAGGAGTTGTGATTCCCAAGTCGTGGCTGCCACATAAGCCTCTGGCTTTCTTCCTTGTGGCACGGCGTAATCCATGCTGGGTCCCAGCGGTGAGCTGTGGGTTTTTTTTCTGGATGCCCTGGAGGAAGTAGGGAGTTCTCTGGTAGGCAGAGTGGTGGCAGTAGCGCCACTGCTTCCTGCAGGTCTATAACTGTGTGGGTCAAGCTGTTCCCCTGGATTTGTAGAGTCCTTGGTGAGCGCCATCTATATTCTATGTCGCTCTTTCTCAGTAGCGCCTTGAGTGGTTGGAGGGACCGTCTCCATTGTAGGGTGTCCCCGGACAGGTCAGCGTAAAAGGGAAGGGTTGCATTTTCAAAGGTTTTCTGTTTGAGGGCCGCAAGGACCATTGCCTTACGTGCGCTTATGCGGAATCACACCACAATGTCCCTTGAGGCTGAAGCTGGATCTCTCCGCGATTTGGGGACCCGGAAGACCGCTTCAAAGCTCGCATTCCTGGCCTATTTCGGCATCAGAAAAGCCCCGATGAGCCACTGCGTTAAATGCGTGAGTTCCTCCGCTGGGATATTGTCAGGGATGCCTCTGATTTTCACATTATTACGGCGTCTGAGGTCCTCAACAGCTGTAAAGCGTTGGTCTTTGATCTCTTGGTGCTTTTTAAGCGCCAGCATTTCTGTTTGGCGTTTCGCTATGACTTGTGCCTGTTTGTCGGAGGAGGCCTGTATGCAGCCCACCAAGCCTGTCAAGTGCGTGCGGAGCTGGGCTACGTCGGCCTATAGTACCAGTTGCAATTCACCTAACATGGATCTCAGTGGTGACTGGGTCGGGTGGCCCTTTTGTTGGTGTTGGCTGTGTTAACGGGGCAAACATACCGGTGGCCATTTTGGGCCCATGTGCTCCTTGTGCCTGGCGGAATAAATCGCTGATATCGCGCCCCAGTTTGGGCTTGTCTGGTTTTTGTCTTTTCGTCCCATGTGGGTTTGTGGTGTATGATTGCGACACTATCTAGTTGGAAAAAGGTTTTTTTCCCCCAGTATGTCCATCTAATGTACGTCGGTCTAGGTCTGCTGCTAGGCTCCACCCCCCACAAATAAATTATTTGATTTAGGTGTGCTCTTTTATTTTTGCCAAGCTCTTAAACGTCTGTGTATAAGATTATACACAATACAAATATACATTTTAAAGAAAACACCTAAATGACTTGTGCAAAGACAACAGGTGTGTAGTAATAGAGGCGGTGGCGTACATACCGGGGTTGTAGGGGTTGCGGCTGCGACCCGGTATGTATGCCACTGCCTCTATTACTACACACCTGTTGTCTTTGCACAAGTCATTCTCCTGGGGGGCCCAGGAGCTGGCCACCTCAGGGCCCCCCCGAGGCTGGCCCTGCTGTCACTGGGCAGCCAGTCCTGCGGGCGCGCGAGGGAGCACTCTCCCCTGTGTGCTCAGTCTTCAGCTCCCTCGCGCACCGCACTGATACCAGAGCGGGAAGATGACGTCATCTTCCGGCTCTGGCATCAGTTCGTGGCGCGCGAGGGAGCTGAAGAGGAAGCACTCAGGGGAGAGTGCTCCCTCGCGCGCCCGCCAGCCTGCCTGCCCACAGGACCGGCCGCCCAGGAGCCCAGCAGCACCGCTGGACCCCAGTGAATCGCCTCAGCTCTCCAAAAGGTAAGGAGGCTGGGGTGATTACATTTAAAAAAAAAAAACGTATGTGTTAGTGTTAGAGTGTGTGTGTCAGTTATTGAGTGTGTGTCTGCTAGTGAGTGTCAGTGAGTGTGTTACTGTGTGTGTCTGTTAGTGAGTATGTTTTGTAAGTGAGTGTGTATGTATGTCTGTCGCTGAGTGTGTCTCTGTCAGTGTGTGTATGCATCTGTTCGTGACAGTGTGTGTGTCTTTAGCACTAACCTTTCTCCAGCGCCGGACTCCCTTGGCGCTGGGGATCACTCCGCCTCTCAGCTTCGGCCGCGTGCGCATTCAAACCGCCCATAGGAAAGCATTACTCAATGCTTTCCTATGGACGTTCAGTGTCTTCTCACTGTGATTTTCACAGTGAGAATAGCGGAAGCTCCTCTAGCGGCTGTCAATGAGACAGCCACTAGAGGCTGAATTAACCCTCAGTGAAACATAGCAGTTTCTCTGAAACTGCTATGTTTTCAGTTGCAGGGTTAAAACTAGAGGGACCTGGCACCCAGACCACTTCATTGAGCTGATGTGATCTGGGTGTCTGTAGTGGTCCTTTAAGTGTGTGCATCTGCATGCACTGGCATACATACCACGTTCGCAGCCCTGCAAACCCTGCGACCAGGTGCCCGCCGCCATGTGTTGCGGCCCCGGCCCACGCGGGGAGGGGGTGGCGGCCACGGATCAAATTTTCGCACCGGGGCCCCATGGGTCATGTGTACGCCACTGAATAGAGGGATCACTTACCAAGAGAGGTAGCAAAGAGTCAAAATGGTAAAATGCAAAGGATGGAAGGGGCAAGCGAACCTTACTTTTGTGAACCACTTTACTACTAGGTACTAATTGAGCAAACATAGACTGTGACGGCAGATAATCATTCAGCCCATCTAGTCTGCCCAATTTTTTAAAATACTTTCATTATTCCCTGGCCTTATCTTATAGTTAGGATAGCCTTATACATATCCCATATTCCTTTTTCAGAATGAAATTTAATTCATAATTCCTCTGTATACAGTCCAACGGTTTTCATTTCCCAAATATTTTTATAAAGGTTGACCCAATAATTAAAAGTTAAGAATGTCATTACTAGGAGAAAAAGCCTATTACAAATGGAGCAATTGTAAAAGGCCAAAACCAGCACTTAATCAGTATTCTAGCTTAACATAATGATATACAAATGGGTTAACCCACTTTTAATATAAAATAATTGTATAAAATGTTAGGCAAAAATTATATGTAGAATATAGTTCTAAAGGACATCAAAAACAACATTAACCGCTGTAAAATGCACTGCAACAAGAACACTAAATTATGTGAAAGACGGGATAATGATCTATCCAAAAAACATGTATATCCAATGAAAGCAAATTTAACCATTTAGAAAAGTGGTGTTAGATTAAAAACTATTCAAGTCCTTGTAAAATCCTTGTTTAAATCATTAAAATGTGATCATAATTAATATTTGACAAATTATCATACATTTATTTTATCCCCTTTATATACACATGTGCTCCACAGGACTAGTCTGTGAATCTCTTTAAGCTTACCAGCTTACCAATAGATGTAGTAATACTCATGCATGCTATAGAGTTCCAGCTCGAAGCCACTCAGCAGATACTGGATCATTATCCTCAGGTTATGATATAGAACCCACGTCCCCAGACAGGCCAGATGTTGCCGCTGTGGCTCCTGTTTGAGCAGCATACTGTGAAGAGCTGCATCTACTTTTTCAGCCTAACAGGAGGGTAAGCAAAGAGACAGCAATGCATAGCACATGTTATGATATTAGACACTTAGTATGCATTACAAACAAAATATTTTAAACCTTTGAATTGTGGAAATACAGAAAGACCATCAAAAACTGTAAGGTGTATAAGAAAAGATGTTTGTTGGGCTATAGAAAGAAATTCTAAATCATACTTTGCAATCACACTGAACAAACAGTGCTTATTTATGGAGCCTTTAAATACTTTATGGAGCCTTTAAATACTTTAGCATCAGGCATATCTTTGGTCTAAATAAAAATTAAAGCGGAATGCTCATTTGATCTTGTATTGTATATTTGTTTTAGAATACCTTTCAAGAATATGTATCCTTGAATACAGAAATATTTAAAGCAACAATCCAAACCTTATAACCACATACAAGGAGGGTTGGAGAGGGGGAGGGCACTAAGGCAGATTTCACATTACAAAATAATGTATTATTTGACTGGGCGTGAACCATAAAAACATACAGAGCTGTGTGAAACATGACAATATGTACCTCATCCTGTAAAGTAGCAAAATCCTCTAGAATATGCCCCAGTTTATCTCTCTGTCGTGCTCGGTTGTGACCATGGATCTGAATTAAGTTGCAGAAAGGCTACAAAAAAGAGAAATTCAGTGAGTGAAAAATATTATGCTACTTGTAGACAGGGTTTTTGGCATTTTAATAAATGGAATATGTACTCACTCGTGCACAGTGTGTAACAAAGGATTCAATGTAGTCTTTTGCTTGGGAGGTATTATACAGAAAGCATCTGGCATGGAGAAACAAACGGAATGTATAAAAAAAAAAAAAAAAAAAGACAATCACATAATATTTCATGGACTTTCTGGTGTTGTCCAAGTATTTATATGGATTACTTACTTTGGGGATAGAACTGGAGGACTAACAAAAGACCGCAAAGCATCTTTCACCATGTCCTGCATTGGATGGGTTCCAAAAACCTTTTTATTGTCCACAAGAAAAGTAGTCTAAAATACAGAAACAGTTTAGAATAACAAAACATTTTCTTCAGGTTTGTTTTTAGTGTTTTTCCCCCTCTTAAAGAAAATTAGACTTTTTTTTTTTTTTTTTTAAACTGTGAATGCTTAATTTCGTAGCCATAGAATAGAGAGAGAGAGAGAGAGAGAGAGAGTGTTTTTGCGGTTAGTGAACATTGTGTGTGTGCGTGCGTGTTTGCCGTTAGTGAACATTGCACAATGCTCTCACTTGTTTGGGAAATTGACAGGGGAGTAAAGATTGGAAAGCTAGCCTAATTGGAAAAACTAGCCAAACTGGAGAATTTTCTTAGCTTGCCAATATTGGCATCAAATGTGTCATTAACAAGCTCATTGGTTTCAATATGAGAACACAGGAAAGGGCAAGATTTTATTTATTATAACTGAAATTGTATGGAACATATATTTAATACATCTCTGACATGTTGGTAATCTTCAGTTGCATAAACATGCCTATATTGTCTGTAATTATGTGCTAAAAACACATTTACCTGTAAGAGGGATCTTGAGAGAACACAAGGAGACTGCTCACTGAATTCACAGAAAAAGTCCTATTATTTTAGGAAAATAAAATAAAAATTGTTATTACACTGATGTAAATTCAAAGAAACCAACAATACAACAATTTTAGAAACATATGTTTTTGCATAGGCTATCCCAAATGCTGAAACCGCTCCAAAAATACTGAACAAAAACAAACCAAGGATGGCACTCAAGGCCTCCTGTTTAGTTATCAAGTCTATATTAAGACCATACATAGAAAAAAAATTATAAAAATAAACAGTACAAAAAAAACCAAAACAGAAAAAACATATTTGTTACCAGCAGATAAACCATAAACTTACCAGAATACTGTGAAGGTTTGTTAAATTGACAACTTCACAGACCATTTTTATACGGTCTATAAGTTTGTAAAAATAGTTAATCATTTCTTCTTTCTTAATAATTTTTGCATAACGAGGAAATGTTGGAGGGAGAAGCCGCTGGTTAACAAGAGGTTCAAACCCCATCATAATTGGATGCTCTACAAAAGAAATTCAACATATTAAACGTTGTTTCTCTTCCCATAAAGTCACCAAAAAGTAATGACATATATATTTCTGGATTTGTCTAACATCAGCAAATGTAAGGAACAATTATTTAGTTTAAGGAACATTCCGAACACCATAATCACAAAAGTCCTCTAAAGAGCTAAAGGGGGCAATAAGTGTAATGGTATGGCCCCAGTTTAATTTGTCAAATTGATTTAGAACAATCTAACAAATTACCTGGTTCCCACTGAACACACAGCACCATAGCCCCAGCATTGTTCAGCAGTTCTACAAGCAGGGCCATGCACTACCATGATCATTGGCTCTAAGCAAATAAGCACAGCCTTGTATCGGCTGTGCTTAGGTTAATAGACCGGATTTGTTGCAGATGTCTGGAGACACAAGTAAGCTGGGACACCAACAAGGTACTTCTGGCAACATAACCACTTCAGTGCTAGGAGTGTTCACTGGTGTGCAGGAATTCCTTACTATAGAAAGTTCAATGTTTTTATTAGCTTTTAAACATACTGTATAACGTGCACAGCATGCCTGCTCTAATTTCAAACTCCATATTATAAAAATTCTCCATTACTTACCTCCCTTTGTCGTATCATTCAGGGCCTGAATACCATGTGAAAGGGAGTTTTGAATGGCAGAGAGAAGGTCAGATGCTTGGCCTATCATCTTGGATGCTTCTATGACTGCACTTGTCTATGTCACAAAAAAAATGCAAGTAAGCGGATTAATTCACAGAAAAAAATAGATAGGTTAGTAAAGACAGATTATTAAAAAATAAAATAAAAAAAATAACAACTTACCTCCTTCTTAGTAAATGCTATTAAAACAGTGAGCAAAACACGGGTAAACTTCACTCTGCTGAATACTGCCAAGCACTGCTGATGCTAAAGATGAAATGGGTATAAAGATTGTGAGTTTTGAATTTACAAGTTAAGGACAAAATGCTTAAAGCAAGAGTACAGAAAAAGTGGATAAGTAGTAGTGAATAAGGGTCAGCAAGTCTAGTGGAGTTAAGTGCCAACTGGGAGAAAATAGTTGGCATAAATAGAAAATTAGTATTAACATGTAAACATCTATGCCCCGGGATGAATCTAGCAAAATCACAATGTACTATTCCTGGTCTAAAGAAATGACTACACATATACACAAGCAAAATAGGAATAATACATAGTTTTTTTGTTTGTTTTTTTTTAAAGATTTTTCTTATTCTATGGGACAATGTAAGACAGTAACATGAGAGGAAAGAAATTTATTACCTCTAGCTCTACTTCAGGATCTCTAGCTTCTCCCTGTCGGCTTCTGGTGCTCTTAGACAAAAAGACAAAAAAAAGTCACTTTAATGTTAGATTAAAAAATGTACATGAAAACTCTTGTTGTATTACCTTAGGCTACTAATAGACTAGAACTGAACAATTGACTTTGCCTGAAACATTTTTAGCTACAGCATGGTTTATTCACTAAAACTAATAAAGGAACACAATAGGGTAAGAAACACAAAAATGTATTCCTGACCCTATGATGTTAAAACCACTATTTAGGTGGCTTGCCCCATTTTAACCCCCTTATAAGAGAATAAAACGTACCTTATTCCCAACGCTATGCATGCCTGCCGGCACAGGCCCCATCCCACGATTTGCCTCCTTGCTGACAACGTCAGAATTTATTATTTCAGCCAATCCAATTCTTTCCCATAAACCATTAGATTGGCTTAAGTCGACAAGGAGGCTGGACGGGGTGGGGGCCAAACATCGTCTGCAGAGCGTGGAGAGGCTGAATGGTAGTGCTGTACACTGCACACACAGTTATTTTGGCCCAAACATTACAATTTTGTTTTCAATTCATTACAATTTGACATTTTGAGAATAAACTTCAATGAATGCATCAAGGGAATTGTACACTAAATAGTAACTTCTAGCACATTGAATGAGTTGACAGATTTGCAAACTGCAGCTAACATCTAATTTTTATACTGTCCATTTTAACCTAAAGGATGTTGTTTTCTGAATATAGTCCATGGTAAATTTATTCATCTGAATGTTACTGTACAAGCAGAAACCAGCATTATGTTATACATAGATATTGTATATCTGAGAGCTATTAATTAAAAAGATAACTAGGCACTGCTGAAAAACTCCAGTTCATTCAAGAGTTAGTGTGTCTGGAGTTCTCTGGTTCTTGCGCACATTTCAGCATTAAAATAATTTTTGAACAGTTTAGCAACATACATTGCCGTATTGGGGCGAAATGGGCTGCCGCCCCAAGGGGAGTTATAAAAAGCATCTGGAAGGATATTGCACCCTTTCATGATTAACTCCAAGTCCCCCGTAATACTGAAAGAGAAATAATACCTCTAATTATATAATTTAGACTAATGCCACTTTGATGCATCATAGCATCACTGCGGGTGCAGGTCTAATTCTGAAGGTTAGTAATGCAGGAGCAACATAGCATTGTGTGACTTTTCCAGTGTAGGTATGTATAATACTCTGAAATCTTTCATAATTTGATCGGTATAACATGTTAAGGTTGGACATAGGCTGTGTTGTAGGGGAGTTTTAGGAGGCGCTTAAATCAATATATGGTGGGAGTGGCCGTAAAAATGTACCCATGGCGTACCACTGTCTGCCACCCATTGTTGGTATGAGTTGGTGTGGCTAAGGCAGAATATAACGTCACCTTAGGTATACCACCAGTGGGGGCAAGACTGTGGGTGGGCTGGAAACCCTCATTCAGTGCTGAACCATTTGAAAACTATTTAAATGAATAACACTCAAATGGAATAAAGTTTTAACAATTTAGTAGATATACCCCAATGAAAACAAGCACACATTTATTGCTGCATATTTTTGATTAGCAGTTTATCTAAAAACAGCTTTCAAAAGATGCAGATCTCTTTGCAAGTCCTCCCCCTTTCTTCCCCCCCAAAAAAAGACATTCTATGGCTGTTCAATCACAGACTTCCCAATGCAGCTCAATGAGAAGTCTTTGCAAGGCAAGTGCTCTGAGCAATTGCCTGCCTCTTGAGTATAGCCAATACTACCAGGAAGTAACAGGAATGGTCGTCTGGTTGACAGCCATGTGGGGTGTAACACTGTTAATTAATAAATGCACCAATTTCTCTTGAAATCTGATTTTTTTTGTAAAATAAAAAAAATGAAGACACACACTAGTTTAAAGGACCACTCTAGGCACCCAGACCACTTCAGCTTAATGAAGTGGTCTGGGTGCCAGGTCCTTCTAGGGTTAACCCATTATTTTTTTTTTTATAAACATAGCAGTTTCAGAGAAACTGCTATGTTTATTAATGGGTTAAGCCTTCCCCCAAAGCCTCTAGTGGCTGTCTCATTGACAGCCACTAGAGGCGCTTGCGTGCTTCTCACTGTGATTTTCACACTGAGAGCACGCCAGCGTCCATAGGAAAGCATTGTAAATGCTTTCCTATGCGACCGACTGAATGTGCGCGCAGCTCTTGCCGCGCGTGCGCATTCAGCCGACGGGGCGGAACGGAGGAGGAGAGAAGGAGGAGAGCTCTCCACCCAGCGCTGGAAAAAGGTACGTTTTTACCCCTTTCCCCCTTCCAGAGCCGGGTGGGAGGGGGACCCTGAGGGTGGGGGCACCCTCAGGGCACTATAGTGCCAGGAAAACGAGCATGTTTTCCTGGCACTAAAGTGGTCCTTTAACAAGCTGAAGTGCTTTAGGTGTTTGCTTAAACACTGCACTTTGAGCCAGTGCCACTCCTGGCACAATAACCGCTTTGATGAGATTAAATGGCAACAGTGCCTACAGTGTCCTTTTAATTTTGCTTGGTTAGAATTCAAACTAAGGTTTGGAATGTTAATCAAAAACACACATGGGTGTAATCAGTTAGTTTTCTAACCAAATTTCAGACTGAGCAGGGAGGAAGAGGTTAATCCTTTACCTTTTTTCCAGCACCGGGCTCCCTCGGCGCTGGGACTCTCCTCCCTCTTCTGCCATCATCGGCTGAATGTGCATTCAGCCAGTCTCATAGGAAAGCATTTCCTATGGATGCTGGCTTCTTCCCACTAGAGGCTGGATTAACCCATAGGTAAACATAGCAGTTTCTCTGAACTGCTATGTTTACAGCAGGCAGGGTTAAACCTAGCAGGACCTGGCACCCAGACCACTTCATTAAGCTGAAGTGGTCTGGGTGCCTATAGTGGTCCTTTAATAGACACCTGCTCCTCCTTCAAAATTCATAGATTATATGTATGAGGTGGGTACCTTAAATATAACCATCATTGAATAGCAAGTATAGCAGTAAGGCTTTATATAATTCAAACTGCGCTAGCTGTACTGTAGACTGTAATTTACTTTATTTGATGTGACTGAAATTATTTTATCATCCATAACTTACTAATTTGATAATGGAAAGAGATAAGCATGCCTTATGGGAGAGAAACAGACTTGCAAATCTTTTATGACAATAATGCAATTACAAATGCTAAAATGTAATTTAACTCACATTTAAAGATGCAGTGCATATTAGTTTTCAAAGGGATGGGAAGGCTCAATGATACTCTCTTTATTTACTTTTCTTTCTATTTTTATATCTGCATTTGTAAACCAACACCACATTCAAAACCAATACTGCATATTTTAGAGATGGATTTTCAAATCTGCTATACCAAACATGGTTGCAAATGTCATCAATAAGGGATCATGTCCTTATATCCGCAACCGAACACCAAGCCATAAAACAAAATATTCACCATAAATGTAATTTTGAATAGGATTAGCAGCAGCATAACTACTGGGATTCTCCACTCCTGTATTGACAGGCACTATTTCATACCTAATTTTCAAACTTAAAATTGGTTACAAAAATATAAAACCCATGGACAACCCAAAGCACCCCAGAAATAAGTTGGAAATGCAAAGTAGGAAATACTTAAAGAAGGGGTGCGCTTTTACTGCTGCTAAATACATGGAAAATGAAATTACCATGAGCAATTCTTTTACATGCATTTAGCAATTTTTTCCCCCCCATACAGTCCATGGGAAAGCATTGGATTGGCTAAAAAGCTGTCATTTTGATGATGTCACAAAGCGCTGGAAATAAGGTGAGTTTTAAACGTTTTTTTGGGGGGTGGGGGGTGTGTGCTATTCCTGTACAAAACCTAATTTTGTGTTCAGCTACATCTGCTAACTACAACGATACCCCCATTGTATGTCTTTGGCACTATTTCGTGAAGCTACAGTGCCATATAGGAAACATGTTCATTTCAGTATTTACAGTAGATTTTGAGCGACTGATTTGAAGGGCCTATGTTTCAATTTGGGGCATTATAGCAGTTTGACTGTTCGAAAAAAAAACCACAAAGGCCTATCATTTGTAAGTAGACACTCCAGGGTATCTCATATGGTGCATATTGTGCCTTAAAATTTCGCCACTTTTTCACCAATATATGTCAAAGTTTGTGGTAAAAAATAATTTGTCATTTTTTTTTTACATACGTATTACATTTTTGATGGGCATTTTGTATATTTGATATGTGCCACTATGATCAAAGTCCCAAAATTATGCTCAGCTAAGTCTTCTGAGTAAAACGACACCCACAATGAATGTATTTGGCACTATTTCGTGAAGCTACAGTGCCATATAGGAGACCTGTCCTTTTCGGTATTTACAGTAGAATTTTGAGAGATGGATTTGATGGGCACAGGTTTTAATTTAGGGCATTATAGCAGTTTGAAAAAACCCACAAAGGCCTACCATTTCTTAAAGTAGACACCCCAGGGTATTTCAAAAGGCATATTTTAAACCTTAGCGTAGGATCATTTTTTTTGCTAGTTTGTACCAAGTTTAGTAGCAATTAGCATTTTTTCTGCCTTTTTGACACACACTTGGAGATGTTAGTGTATATTTTGCAATCCTTATGTGTGCTACGGCAGTATAACACCTAATATGTGTACTTTTTTTCAGGGATATGTGGATGTTGAAGGGGCACATTGGACACCAAGTCATAACAGTTTATTATTATTAAAATAAAAATCATAAAATAATTAGTGTCAGAGGTCAGAATTGCAGCAGCCTCCTTGGCCCTAAACGTTGTCAGCAACTTTAAAATGGAAGAACTAAATAATAATAATAATAATGAAAAAAAAAAAAAAAATACATACATACATACATACATATATATATATACATACATACATATATATATGGGAAAACAAGAGGCTGGCTGCACTCACTTGAACATGCTTAAATGGGTGCTGCTGGGGGCCAATAAGTACAGTAAAAATGAAAATCCAGCGCACTCCCTTATCTACTAAACAGCTACTTTGGTGCTGTCAGATTTTGCTAGTTTTATTAAAAACACCTAATCTAGGCAAAAAATAATGGGGGTTTAGTTACATTATATGATCATACATTGCATAAGCCTGCCACAACGTCAATGTACCCCATCTTTGGCAGGTCCTTCACGAACAACCAACTGTCTACTAAATGAGCTACTCACTTGGGGAAATCCTTCCATCGCAAGTTCTCTGCAGTATAAGGCTAAATAGGGTCCTGAGATGAGGCACAGTGATCACATGTGCTGGGACAGTGCTATTGGCGGTTGCTGGTCTGCCTGTGACACTGAGGCACCCAACAACAGTGTTAACTGCGGCAATCTGGCATTAACGTTAGTCTCTAGCTTGTCCTTAATGCAAGGACAAGCTTGACGTAAAATTTCCGTATTTTATCGGGAAGAGATTAAGCATCGCTTGTCTGATTGGAAAACATAGTATAGTGATTTAGAACTCATGACGTGAAGTTCTCCTAACTATTTGGTTGGGGTGATAACAAGAAATGTGGTCTTCCAGAATTGTAACTATAGAGGAAAAACTTGCATATGTTCGAAAGGAAACCAGGACTCAAGGAACCAAGTCCCAAGGAAGAATACGTTCTTAAACTGCAGGCTTAACACATTGGCTGCCAAATTCTTCAAAGACACAGAGTCAATCAAAATGTGTAGACATACATCAGCTAACAAATCTGCTGACAATTCCCTGGTATAACCAGTGTGTGGAGTTTTACTTAACCTGAATAACAATGTTGATGACAGCTGGATCAATACTTTTCAATGCCATAATTTCCCATTCAGAAGCAACACCGTGAGACTCCAATTGTGCAGAAGACTGAAGTCTGGTTGGATATGTTCCAGGATCTCTTCTTTTGGTAGTTTGAATGACATAGTGGTATGAAAAGGATTCTACCATATGGATGTGAATTAATCATGGCTCTGCAAGGTGTGAGGTTCTACACTTGGAAAAAGTCTGAATGTCTCTTCATCTATTTGGCATGTACCTTGCAATTGATGAGGCAATCTCTTTTTATGTTAATGGCCATTAGCCTTTTTCCTGTATTATATCCAAAGAGAAATATTCATATTTACCTCACAGAATAATAATTAAGCCTCATTTTTGTTATATTTGGAATGCGACAAGCGCCATCTCCTAAACAAGCCCAAACATGAGTCACCTGACTTGACCATAGGGGAAGGAAATGTGATGTCCGTCCTACCGGATCCCAGGTGGGGCGTGCGACATGTCTATGGAATGGGAAAATAAATTTGTAGATGCAATTATTATTTCTGTGGCAGGTACATAAGAGAAGATGTTTCCATTTGGATTGACGGTGGTCTGGAACAAAGGAGGTGATCACTTATTTCTGCAGGTACGCCTTAACTCCACCCCTGGGCAAGACTTGATAATCCACAGGATATATATCCAATGATTTGAAGGGGTGTTGGTGTACTTGCTTGGGGCCAAGATCTAATTTTAAGTGAGTCACCATCATCCTTCCTTGCCAGAGACCCCCTGGGCAGAAGCTGTACTTTGAAAACCTAAGCCCGTGAGTAATTAGGACTTATTGTATTTTATCCTTTTTGTTTTTATCTGTTGTTGGTGTAAATAATTTGTTTATCATATATTTTTATGTGCACTGTGACTTTTTTTTGCTCATAATAAACATTTATTAAGTTCTGCCTTTGACAGAACTGAGCAGTGAGAATACAGAGTTATGATCTATACAAAAAAACTGCTTCAGTAAGCCAACTTTTCTTGGTAACCATAGTGTCCCTTTAATGTAGATTACTGGGCTTACCAAAAAAAAACCAAAACACACATTTAGAAGACGTGACAGTTCCAGAAGCATTGAGGACCTACGATGCACTGCGATGGAATCGCCCGTTTGACCACCACTAGAGGTACGTTTTCGGCCTAATGTAAACATTGCTGTTTCGTAGAAAAAGGCAAGGATATTTCCACCAAATGCACTACATATGCATTGTAATATGTAGTGATTTTAGTGCTTGAATATCCTCTTTAATAACATTTTGGATGGATAAAGCAGCCAAAATATGCTTTACCTTAGAGACAAATTAGAAAAATGGAGAAACAAGGTCACTAATCCAAACTAGTTTAGATTAAGGACAAAGTGGTCAGTTTAAGTGGTACCAGATGCACCATGGGCCTGAACTCTTTGAAATAGTAATATACAGAAATGAAAAGAATCCCAGTAAAAAGTAGGGGATTCCTATCTGGTATTGAAAGAAGGAATGAGGTGATAAGTAGCTAACTAATGTAGTTTCAAAACTTGGATAGGATAGAAGTACAAATCCTACAGCTAAATCACTTAAAATGTATATGACAGGGATTGAGAGCATTCAGCCTATTACAGTGCTATTGCAGCTATAGCTAGGAAGTGTATAATCTCTGCCTAAAACATACCTCCAGTGCAGGTGTGGCTATGAAAAGGCAGAGACCCTCATTTAGTGTTAAAGTCCTTTAAAAATGGATTAATACTGAATGGAGAGACAGTGCAATAGACTAAAGCAGGGGTCAGCAACCTATGGCACGTGTGCCATGCATAGCACTCAAGGCTGCCAGAGACAACAAGAGTCCCAGTGAAACTTCAAATATTTGATAGTGGAACCCAAGTGGTGATTGCAGGTGGTGAGGGTCAATCCTCTATTTACACACTGCAGCACTTAGAGGAAGTGATCTAAGATCACTTCCTGCCAGCACTTGAGAACGGGAATCTGCATTGGAGTAGGGCAGCCCACAGCAGCTTTCACAGCTCCTGCCCTTCACCTCTACCTGGCCCCCACTGGACTCCAGGGAAGCCACTCACTGTAGAATATTACATATTCTATATGTTCCTATTCAAATACTTATTAAGGTATCGATGTCTAATGGGTTAAAAAGATATCGCCTATAAAGAATTGAGGACAAAGGACCACGCTCACTTCTCCAACTCTCCGCTCTCCTCTCCGGGTGGGTCCCTGACTTGTTGATAGAAAGACAAATATCTCTCTCTCTGTAATGTCGTTAAGAAATACCATCTGTTAAGTATAATATTGTTTGTTTTTGAAGTAGAATAAATGCATTTTTTTTATAAAGAACATCAGACTGCATATGAATACGTTTGGTAAATATAGGTGTATATTAGCCTGGCGAGTCTTTAACCCAAGAAGACATATACATATACATATATATATATATATATATATATATATATATATATATACCCCAGCAGCACCCCATTTATGCATGTTCATGTGAGTGCAGCCCCCTGGTTATTTTATTTATATATATATATATACACACACACACACACATACACACATATATACATACATACATATACACACACACACACACACTAGATTGTTGTTTGTTTTTTTTAAAAACGAATAAAATCTGTCAGCATTGAAGTTGTTGTTTAGTGGATAAGTGAGTGCGCTGGATCTTGTGTAATATACACACACACACACACACACACACACACACACACACACACAATGTGATACATAGCCCACATTCACAGCTATCATACAAATTACCACAAACTTCTTATGCAATATAACAGCCCACATAAGCACAAATGCAATGCTACAAAGCAACTGCAGCACCCATAAATAACACAAGCAGAATACTGCAGCATGCATATCTCTGTTTAAAAAAAAATAGGACCAGCACGCAAATGGACTTTAAGATCTTTTGGCACAGTACTACTTAAAGGTTGCCTACCCCTGGACTAGAGGCACTATAACCAAGTAATTATAAAGTGCCTACAGTGTCCCTATAACAACCTTTACAGCTCAAAATACATTAGTTGAATTGTAACAACCATTTAGGAGGAGGATGAAAGACTCAACTGCAAAGCTTCTATTTAGTGTTCAAAACCATCCTACAATGCCCTCTACTGTAGAAATCCGGTATTGTAAATGGGCATTAGAATCACCATATTAAAACAAAAAAAAGCCAATAGGTTCTTTAAAAGGCTGAGAAGTGGTGTATTTGATCGCTTTTATATATACATATATCTACCCTCTGAACATTGCTTTGCAATTTTCTAAATTTTGCAGCATCATAACCAGAAAGTAAAAGGGTTTTAAAAGATTTCATTTACACAACATATGTAACACTTTGAAGGAACAAAATAAGTTATAAAATCAACAAAGATGCTGCTTTCTCCTGTTACAGGATTGTTTACATTGCTGTGTTTTTTTTTTTACTTTTTTTACTGTTCTTTCATTTTTATTTTATTTGGGTCTCTGAGGGTCCCATCAAAGGGTGAAATGCATAGTAACAATTGTTTTATTTTTTTTTATTTATTTTTTTCCAAATTTTTATTGGGTAATAATGCAAGATTACAACATCTGTTTTGCAGTATACAATCTGGTATCAACGAACTTTTGTATGTTATACATTGTTACCATGCTTGAGAGTCCAGATCGGTTGTGGTAACTGTTCGAGCACGTTACGTTTTAGCATTCGTTTGTGTGCGGTACCCCTGGACAGAGTACTCGAGTGTGGTTTGATTTTAGTCGTTGGTGGTGTGTTATTAACATACAGGTAGAAATCAAAACATAATATAACATAACATAACAGTACATTGGGGTGGGTGATGAACTTTCCTGGTATAGCTAGTATGTACCATCGTGGCGTAGAACCTCGTCAGTGTGGATTGTTGCGTTGTGGTAGATTTGTCTGTTTGGGTATGCGGGTCTATAGCCTTTGTGGAGGTGTGTTACGTATGAAAGTTAACCATGGTTCCCAAGTGGCCGTGTAGTCGTGGTATTTGAGTGAAAAGGAGTACGCTAGCTCCTCCATTTCTCTGATAGCGTCTACCCTTTCTATCCAGGCTCTGATCGTAGGGGGTGCAGTTTGCTTCCATTTGGTTGGGATGATGTCGTTTGCTGCCGTTAACAGGTGGTTGATCAGTATGCGTGAGTGTTTGGGTAGGGGGCTGGGGTACATTAAAAATAGACTTTAGGGTCTTGGGGTAGTTTGTGTCCCGTGATAGTGCGAATAACGTTCGTTATCTGGGCCCAGAATTTACTTATTATTGGGCATTGCCACCAGATGTGGCTTGTGGTTCCCTCCGCTTTCTTGCACCTCCAGCATGTGTTTGGTGCGTTTGGGAAGAATCTGTGGATGCGGGATGGTGTGTAGTGCCATCTGGCTATTCGTTTGTAATTGCTCTCATGTGTGCTGTTGCTTTTGGATGTGCGGAAGACATTGGCGAATATTTTATACCACTCTTTGGTTTGCATTTGTATCCCCAGCTCTGTTTCCCACTTGGATGTATAGGTAGGTAGGAGTTCGTCCTTTCGTCGGCATAATTGTTTATAGAAGGAGGATATGTGGCCCCTCCGGATGCTGTGTTGTGCGCATTGGGTCTCGTATAGAGTGTGGGTTCTATGGCCTTGTGATAGTGGTGGATTTGTGCTTAAGTGTTTGAGTTGCTCGTGTCTCAGTCGCGTCATTCCCGTTTGCGATTCAGTGGGTAGTAGTTGTTCAAAGGGAGTGACCCCCTGGTCCGTTAGGACATCTCCCAAAGTCAGTGTATGAGCTTGTTTGGGGAAGTTTCTAAACGCCCTGTGGTCCATGCCTGGGGGGAAGGAGGGGTTTCCCGTTAGTGGGTAGAGTGGTGATGGATGTGGTGCTAGGTGTTTGTCTCTCCTAATGGTCGACCAAAGTTTCACTGTGTGTGTGATTGTGGGGTGAGAGGTCCCTGAGCGCGTTTTCGTGTCGGTCTTGTTAGCGAGCCAGGGTATGGCATATATCGGTGTCGCGAGAAAGCTGGCCTCAATCTGTACCCTTTGGGCTGTGTTTTTAGGGTATGACCATTCATAGATCCTCGTGAGGATAATGGCTTTGTGGTACGTTTCCAGATCTGGTAGGCCTAGTCCTCCTCGTTGTTTGCTTTTTGTGAGGCATTCGTATTGTAGCCTCGGGGGTCTACCTGACCATATAAAGTTGTTGAATAGTCGCCTGGAGAGGGAGAAGAAAGGCCTTGGTATTTTAATAGGCAAGGTTTGCATTATATATAGAAACTTGGGGAGAATCATCATCTTTAAGATGTGGATTCTGCATAGCCAACCGAATTGTGGTTTATTCCACGATTTGAGTTCGGTATCTACTTTGTTTAGAAGGGTTGTGTAGTTAAGGGCGTATAGGAGTGACAGTGTGGTTGTGAGTTGGACTCCCAGATATCTAATTGACTCTGTGGGCCAGTGGAATGGATAGGTGATGCGGAGCGCTGTTTGTGTGGCGTTCGGTATGTTGAGCGGGAGTATCTCGCTCTTGCCCATGTTTATTTTGTAATTGGAGACTGCATTATATGCCTCTATCTCTTGTATAAGGTGTTGTAGGGATGTTTTTGGATTAGATAGGGTGAACAGTAGGTCGTCCGCAAAAGCGGAGACCTTGTATTCCTGCTCTGCTATTTTAATGCCAGATATGTTTGGGTTGTCTCTTATTCCTTGTAGGAATGGCTCCATTGTGAGGATGAAGAGTAGTGGGGAGAGGGGACAGCCTTGCCTAGTACCATTGGTTATTTGTACGGTATCTGACAATTGGCCGTTCACCCGCACTTTTGCTCCCGGTTTTGAATATATGGCTGCGAGCCATTGTATCCATTGTTGGCCGAAGCCCAGAGTTTTCATTGTGGCCATGAGGAAGGACCAGTCTACCCTATCAAATGCCTTCTCGGCATCTATGGTTAGAATGAGGCTCTGGTGTCCTTTTCCTTTGGCTGTGTGTATCAGGCTTAGGAGTTTCGTAGTGTTATGTTTGGCCTCCCTATTCGGTACAAACCCTGATTGATCCGGGTGTATCAGTCCGTTCAGGAGTGGTTTCAGCCGGTTGGCAAGAATCTTAGTGAAGATTTTCAAATCACAATTTATAAGAGAGATTGGGCGGTAGCTCCCACACTCCTCTAGGTCCTTTCCGGGTTTGGGGATCAATGTGATGTGGGCTTCTAAGGATTCTACTGGGAGTTTGTGTCCTAAAGCCAGTGAATTGAAGGCAGTGACAAAGGGTTTGCAGAGCAGATTTGTGAATGTTTTGAAGTACTTGGTAGTGAAGCCGTCGGGTCCTGGGCTTTTGCCTATGGGGAGGTTTTTAACTACCAGTCTAAATTCTTCATCTGTTAGGGGTCCTTCAATGGATTGTCTTACGTTTGTGGGGATCGTTTGCGTGATTCTGTTAGAGAGGAAATGGGTAATTTCCTCTGGTCGTGGTGGCGTCTGCCTGAGGTTATACAGGTTTGTGTAGAAGGCGTGGAATTCTTTAAGTATGGCTGGGAGTAGGTGGGTGCGTGTCCCGTCTTCGCTTTTGATCGTGGTTATGTATGTGCGTTGCGTGTTTTGCTGAAGGGCTTTGGCTAGCATTCGCCCGCATTTTCCTCCTTGAGTGTAAAATGAATATTTGGTGTGAGTGAGTGATCGTTTGATTTTGGAATTTAACAGGGTTTGTAGGGTTGTGCGTTTGTCAACTAGTTGTTTATAGATGTCTAGGGAGAGGTTGTGTTTGTGTGTCTGTTCAATTAGGCGGATATCTCGCAGGAGATCAGTGATTTGGGCATCTTTCTTTTTCTTGAGTTTGGAGGCTATAGCTATGATGTGTCCTCTCATTACTGATTTATGAGCTTCCCAGGTTATTGTCGGGGATATGGACGGGGATGTATTTTCCTCAAAGTAGTGTTGTAGTGTGGTTGTTAGTGTATCAACCGTGGCTGTGTCATTCAGCATGGTGTCATTTAGTTTCCATTGGAAGTTGTTGGGTGTCAGAGTTGGGATTTGAAAAACTAGAGACAAGGGGGCATGGTCCGACCATGTGATCAAGCCATACTCACATGATTGAATTAAGTGTATATGTCTGTGAGGAACAAATAGCATGTCCAGACGAGAGTATGTGTTTGACCGTTGAGTAAAAAGAGTAGTCTCGTCTTTGTGGGTGTATGGTTCTCCAGCAGTCGAATAAATAAGATTTGTCTAATAGTCTGGAGCTGGAAGTAGTGTCTAATTCCGAGTCAAGGGACATGTTTAGGTCACCTCCGAGTATAAGAATGCCTTCGACATGTTTTTCGATTATGTTGAGGTATTTGCGTAGGTGCTTGTGTTGTTTGGTATTTGGCAGGTAGATATTTGCGAAAGTTACAATTGTACTGCCAATTTTGCCTTTAATTATGAGCAGCCTACCGTTTGGATCTGTGTATTGGTACGTGTGGGTATATGGTGTCTGTGCCCCTATGAGGATGGCTACTCCTCTGGATTTTGCGTCCGTGTAGGAGCTGAAATATCCTGTGGGGTAGTGTCTGTTGCGAATAGTGATGGTGGAGTCTGCTTTTAGGTGGGTCTCCTGAAGAAATGCCACATCAGCTCTAAGTTTGTGGAGTTCGTGTAGCGTTAGTGCTCTTTTTGTCGGGGAGTTTAGACCCCTGACGTTGAGGGTAACTATGTTGAGGTTTGCCATGATGGAAATTGTGTGAACTGTGTGATCTGTCGTTCACGTATTGTGTACCAGGGGAAGATAACCGATAACAAATGAACTATGTACAAAATTGTGTATAGGCAGGTGGAGCAAGAAATTGAGATGTTTGGTGTTGACGGGAAGGGTTGGCGGCCTTGTCTGTCGGTGGCTTTCCCCTTGAGAGGCTTTAGGGCCTTTGGGGAGCTGCACGTGCACCGCTTTGGCCGCTCAAGTCTTTCCACCTGCTATCGAGGTTTTATTTTCGTGGGAGGTGGTAGGTTGGGGTGTTGTTATTAAATGTCTCGCCAGAGACGGGCAATCCTATGGATAGTTGTCAGTAGTGAGTAGTGGATCAGGCAAGGGGATCAAATTAGTGGGACAGGTAAGATTGTGTGTTTGTGGAGCAGGTCGATTTTAGAGGATATGATCCAGAAAAAAGGGGGGGGGGCTGGAGGCTGCTTGCCTCTAGTGAGTTGCCTAATAGTCTAGGGGTAGGCTTTATGTGTCCCCTTGGGCAGGGGCTCTGCCTCGTAGTTGGAGGAGGCTTGCATCTCAATTGCTTGCTCGGGTGTGCATAAGAAGTGTAGAGTGAGACAAATATTATTCCCATAACATTTGCAGCTCTCCCAAAGAACATAAAATAGAAAACCATCCATTAATTGACATAACATGGTATACATTTCCCGGTAAGACAATCAATCAGATCTCAATTGACCTCAGGGGCATTCCTTGAGGTTGTTGCCAAGGGGAAGAGGGGTTAGTAGTGAGGGAGTGGGGAAGGGGACAGGGGAGTGGGAGTGGTATACCGTTACCCGAGATGCCACTCAGTGTCTTTATGAGAGTGGTAGATTATTAGGCTAAAGGGGGAGGGGGGGCTGGGGTGATTTAGGGGGTGAGGGGAGGCCTTATGCTTGTCAGCAGAGCCTGTACATATACATTCATTTACGGTAAAACATACATATTTATTATTATTTTTATTTTTTATTTTTCCTCTCATACCCCTCCGGAGTGCCATTGCCTCATGTTTCTGTGTGTCCTCTTCCCTGCTGACAGTATGTGGTCTTTCAGTCCAGAACCAGTGTCATCTAGGAGTGTCGGTAGAGTGGAGAGTCTCCTTTTCATAGAGCTCGCGGACCGAAGCAAGTCTAGGTTGTCGTGGGAGATGTCCTGATTTGTATGTTTTCTTGTGATGCTCAGGTATTGTGTCCCTAGGGTGGGGCCTTGAGATGCAGTCTCTGTGGGTGGATTTCTGGATTATTAGTGGTCGTTATAGATCTCTGGACCTTAGTTGGGTCCTTGTCGATTGGGGCAGTGATTTCTTAGTTGGTGGTCGTCGTCATGTGCCTTGGGTCCCATCGAAGGGCCGGGGGGCCTGCTCTCGGTCTGGGACCTCCTTGGTGGTGCGTTTGGTCGTTGCTTCTGCGTTTGGATGGCGTCTGCCCTCTTTGCTTGTGGGTCATCTGCGAGCGATTTGGGGGTTGTAGCGGCCCATACCAGTCTGGTATGTATATGTCCGGTAGGTCTAGGGCCGAGGTGAAGACCCGCACGTCCTCTGCTGAGGATAGAGTTGCTGTTGTACCATTGTGCGTGGCAGTAAGGGCCAGAGGGAATCCCCAGCGGTATCTTATGTTCCTAGAGCGCAGTAGGTCTGTGAGGGGTTTCATTGTCCTCCTCGCCTGCAGCGTCATCCAGGAGAGATCTGGGAAGATTTGCACAGGTATCTCATGGAATAGCAGCGGTTGTGTCGTCTGGCGGAGATTTCTGAGTATGTCTTCTTTAATAGAGTAGTAATGCAGTCTGCACACTATGTCTCTGGGTGCCTCTGCCATGGGGTTTCTGGGCCTGAGTGCCCTGTGGGCTCTGTCCAGTGCTATAGGGGTTGATACATCTCTTTGCAGTATAAGATTGAATAGCTCTTGGAGGGTTACCTTTAAATCTTCCCCCTCTTTTTCTGGGATGCCCTTTATTCTTAAATTGTTTCTGCGCCCTCTGTTATCTAAGTCATCTATCATTCTATTCATGGATGCTATTTGGGCATTTTGTGCTGTTAGTGTACTTTGGAGATTTTGCATTTGTGTGGCTGTGTAGTCTTGGTCACTTTCTAGTAAGCTGACCCTTTCACTGACCTGTGTTACTTCTGCTGTGATGTCGGCCATTTTTTTCTGGAAAGTCACCTCCAGTTTTTGCAGCATGTTTGCAAGGTCTTGCTTAGATGGGAGGTTTCTCAGAATCTCCCTCAGGTCTTTGTCTTTTTCCCTGTCCAGATCCTGTGACAGTGTGTCAGATGCTGCAGGGCTGGATGGGGGTGATTGGGAGAATTCATCCGGCGCCATATTGGGGCCTGCATGGTCGGGCTGTTGGTCGCCGTGATCTTTGAAATATTTGGTGAGCGCTCCGGTTTTCGGCCTTTGCAGTTTGCCGGCTTGTTGGGAGGCTGTGGACATTCTTTCGGGGTGTCCCATTTTGTTAATTAAGCCTGATGGCTGCGGATTGCCCGTCGCGGCGCTCGGAGCTCCGTTTTCAAGCGGCCATTCGCGGTCGCGGCTAGCTCCGCCCCCCCCAATTGTTTTATTTTTATGTACACCTTTATATTTGTTCTATGAAATAAAGCATATCTTATTGTGGATAATATTTTTAGACATGCCTTCCATATTGGTGTGAAGACTGCCATGAGAAGAGAAGTCCAGGATTAGCACTCCATCGTGCTAAGGGGAGGCACCCTAATACAATTTTACAAGTCTGCATCCTGTAATGCCATTCAGCGCATATAGCTGCACTTTATACTGTATCACTCTATTGCACTTTGTTTTTTGTAGATCTTCACCTACATTTTCTGTATTTGTTTGGTTGTACTTAAAAATCAACAAATACCTGTTTTATTTTTTTATTTTTGTAAAACCACCTTTGCAATTACAGCTGTATTTTGGAAATTATATATTATCTTTGCATATCTGGTTTCTTTTTAATTTTTTGTCCAAATTGTTCAAGTCCTACAATGCTTAACTGTATCAGAAAAAGTCATCCATTGGTTTGAGGTGGAAAATGGAAAACAGTCTGCAGGAGACGTGTCTAACCTTTACTGCAAGCCTACCACAAATAGAGTCTGAGTGAATATATGGTGTGTCAGTGATTTTAAAGATGCTGCACTATTTTGTTGCTCTCTTGTTTCTTTTTTATGGTTTTGAGTTACAGGGATACACCAAGTACTGCAGAGTGCTGGATCTGGTACAAGGAGTGTCCTGGTGCCTCTTCAATGTAAGTAGTCAAACCATTTGTTTTCTTAACTGGTGTCCCTACTCTTTCCCTTCTGGTCTCAGTGCCAGAAACTCTCTGTCTAGATAAACCTTATGGGACACAGCTTTGCTCACTGAGTAAGACTGATCAGAGCCTGGACTTGGCTCAGGAGAACTAACGACAGCTCCTAGCAGGAGCTTCCGGCTCTCCAAAGCGGAATGAGAGGAGGAGGGTAGTGGCGTCTGGCACGAAAGAAGTCAATATGTTCCAAAGCTGTTCGAATACTTAATCTGGGAGTAATCCTGGGCATGCATGGCACCATATCCACTAGTAGAGCATTTTTCAAACAATTCATATCTTTGATTTATGTTCATAAAAGTTGAGAATTTTACATTTTAATTTCATCATGGAGACAAAATTACTCCTGTAAATACTTGTCAATGCGTTAGTTTTTTTTGTTGATCCATATTTTCATTATGTTTTAACAATGGTTAAATAAATATGCAGAACACAAATATTTGGCATTATACTAAAGATGTGACACCTATAATATATAGGTGAAATGTTAATTTTAAATTTCAAACTAATACTGAAATGCAAGCCATTAACAGGTACTGAAATAAATTAAAAATACCTTAACTCTCCTCTGCAGATCATCTTCTACATCTTTCAACATTCCTATGAAAAAGGACATATTTGTAAAGAATACCCGAAACTGTAAAGAATGTTCAAACTGGGCAGAGCCATTATGTATAATGTCTGACCTGTTACCCGTAGATCTGTGACACCATTAGCCATTTTAAATCCATATGTCATAGACTGGAAATCCTCCTTTAGAATAAAAGATAAAGAAAAAAAAAAAAAAGCAATATTTTAGTACCCACTAAAATATTTTAAAATGTTACCAGACATTTTACTGTGTCTGATTAAATACCCTTAGGTCCCTTTATGTTCTAAAGAAATCTACCTTTGTATACTCTGAAACAGTTAATCTGAATGAAAGCTACACTTGCTGGATTACATCACTCACACAAGACACTATCATGCACACTATGTTCATTACAGTGTTTCCTGCCTGGCATATAATGGTGCAATACAATTTCTTCTTTAAAACCAAAACAGTGTCACCAAATATTAACATGACAGATATTCTAGAAAACATACATATCGGATTCTGTTTCACTCAAACACCAGGTTTATTCATACTGGTGCATATAAATTTATAGTGAGCGCTCACAGCAAATATGGGTAATAGTAAAACGGAGAAGTGCCAGGTGCTGCAAGGGAAAATCTGATCCCCCACCAGATCCATGAGCTCAGTAGAAAATAACCCAAGCACACCAGAATAACTTTGCATATAAAAGTGTTTTTATTTATACAGTGGATAAGTATAGATTGAATAATGGATGTGCAAATAACAGTACAGGTATGTAAACATCAAAATAGCACACCAATAATCACTATACATGCAATAGTAAGTACTCAAATAAGAAACCCATAACAAAACAAGCATACTGACACAAGAGCAGGAGAGAACAACCCCAACGTTTTGGCGCCTCAGCCTTCCTCTGGGGAAATTCCAGGCTGAAATGCTGGAACGTTGGGGTTGTTATCTACTGCTCTTGGGTCCCATGGGAAACATGCTTACACAATATTTTTATATTTTTCCCCCAATTTCTTACACTTCTAGTGTTAATAAGTATTACACTGGCTGATTTACTCCCCAAATGATTTAAAAAACATTTTTTTTAAGTCATGCAAATATATAATTGCTTTACATCAATATAGATTAGTTGAAAACGGTTGTACCTCTTCAAAAACAGCAGCTTTGTTGACTTTCTCTCTAGCAATGTCACAAATTTTGAGAATGCCTAAAGCAAATGCCTTCATAGCGGGGTCCTCTATAGAATCAGGATTATGGACATAAAGGCAAGTGAAAACAGTTTGTGCTAAGGAGTGCCCTTCCAACCAGGTTATCTAAAGGTAAATAAGAAAATAAATATTTGTGATTAGAATCAGAGTAAAAATGTTCACATGACTTTTGGACAGAGATTGTGCTATTGCCAATAAGGAATTTGTATGCTATATGTTTAAACCTCGATGAAAAACTATAAAGTACTGCAGTTTCTTGTAATATATGCACCCGGCATTTACCAAGACAGCGTGAGTGCATGGATTTTTTCTGTGTTTGTGTGTATATATAGCAAGCTTTCATCATAGTACTATAGTGCCCTGGTACCTCACCTAACCATAAGAAAGCAAAATGTTTTAGAATGGTTTAACTGCTTACCTGTGGTCCGCTGGACATTAATCCGCACCTACACTACCAGAAGCTCTCAGTCTTGAGCTAAGCCTGGCAGTGCAGGGCTTAGCTCATTGGCTGAGACCAATTAGCTATTCACATAGATACAATTAAAGTATACTTTAAACAGCAAAGTACACTGTAGACTTGATCCAGAGTTTACATTATAATAGAACAAAACTAAAAGAGAACAGGGGGAGGGGGAAAACAAAAAAAGAAAGTATGGGAAAAGCTGCAAAGAAGGGGGTGGGGGAAAGAATGAGTTAACTCAAGATCCACCCTAGTGAATCTGGGTATATTTAAGCAACAGATCAGAAGATTTTTGAAAAGAGGGGACAGTGAACTATAGCTTTAAGCTATACCATAAAAAAAAAATGTAAGAGACCATGGCAATAACCTTTTGTACGGAAGAAGTCACATCCTGGAGACATAAAAACAACTAATGTTTTAAAAGTTGTATTTGTGTGTACAAAATGATCGTCTCTTTACAGGAAAATAAAATGTAGCCTGTGTGTTGCAGTTGACAAATTTTACTATAAGTATCAATGGGAAAGATTCAGCACAATAGGGTAAGAGTTATCAAGCATTGCTTAGTTCAAGAATCTTCCTGTTGAAGCATTATACACCACATAGTTCTTACAATATTTCAGAAAATTAGAAAATCTGCTTTAAAATGCTTTTATTGCGGGGGCGGAGCTAAGCCATTGAACGGAACGGTCGCATGCCTAATGTGCTCCGACACCAGAGGCCTGTTTTTCGAGTTTTCCGCGGCCCCAGACACCGACAAACGGACCCCACCCGGACCCCCAGACAGCCCACACCGGCATGGGCCGAAAAATAAAAAAACAGAGGCCGGATAAGCCGAAACCAGGGGCGGGCATCGGAGACTTATGGCGGCAGGCGCATGGCGCCTCAATGCCCAAAATGGCGGCTTACATGGGGGAGAGCTCCGACTTCTCGGACGACCATAGTTTGGAGCCCCGGGATCTACAACCTCCAGCTCCGAGAGAATTAAACCGGAACACGGTACCCGCAACCTTACAACCGGAGTCATCACCAGTCACCAAAGCCGACATGCAGGAGCTGCTGGCAGGCCTGCGGAGAGACATCCAAATGGATATGGCGACTTTCCGCAAAGACCTACAGGGTTTGACTGGCCGCATGGGTACCCTGGAAACCGACACCCACAATGCGAAGGCACAACTTACCCAACTACAGCAAGAGGTGCAGGCACTGCAAAAACAACATGCCGCCACGGAACAGCGGTTTGCAGCACTGGAGGACTCCAGGCGAAGCAAAAACCTTAAGATCAGGGGAGTAGCAGAAACAGTCCCCGACGCGGAGCTACCGCATCTGATAAGACGTCTACTAACGGCGGTATTGCCCTCTAAACAGGCGAAATCGGTGACACCCGAAGAAATATTCCGGATCCCGAGACCACAAAAAGCACCAGCCACAGCTCCGCGCGACCTGATTGTTCGATTTCAATCAGGGCAAGACAAAGCAGCAGTCATGGGGGCACTAAAAGGAAAGACCCCCTACAACTTTGAGAACTTACTACTCACGTTTTACTCTGACTTATCAGGAAGCACCCTGGCGTGGCGCAAAACACTACAGCCTTTCACGCTGCTCCTCCGCGAACGGAGCATATCATACAGATGGAGAGGATCCCGCACTCTAGCCGTCCTCCAAGGTAACATCTCTTACCCTGTTCAAGACCTCGAAGGGGCGGTGGCCATCTTAGAGACCCTGGGCCTGCCACAAGACTCCCTAAACAACAGAGGAGCAGGGACAGGGACCGCAACGCATGTCTGGGACCCGGCCGGCGCAGCTCCATTTGTACCGCGCAACTCCGCAGAAGACACCTACAGAACGGCCACAACCTGAACTCTAATCACTAATCTCTACAGAGAATCTCACACCAACCTTCCAGCTTAACAGAGACTTTCTTTTCTCCTGACCTCACTCACGTTAGTCCATACTGAACCCAGGCACTAACATCTCAGGACGGTCGGGGGCAAGAGGGCCTATATCCCCCATGCTTACCTGGATGCTGCTGGGATCCAACCCCCGTCGGTCGCTCTGACCGTCAGCACGGACTTTAGGACAATAAACTTAGGCCTCATCGGCTGATCCAGCAGAGATTTGGACTCAATACCAGGCATAGTACTCGCTGTAACCCAGCCTTATATGCCCCAATTGAACTCCCACGAATCTCGGTTCACAATGTTATTTCCTCCCCAGTTTAAAGTGCGGTGTGTGTTTGTTTTTGTTAGCTTATGCTGCCAACATTAGCCCTTGAAAAGCATCGCACAGACAGCTTATTGTTTAGAATGATTATTAACCCTAGCATGCAAATACATTAAAAGCCCCGGTATAGCATAATGGTCACACCTGTAAGCATATGCGAAAGGTCTCCTTTTACGCGACATATACATCTCCCATTTAAGTTTGCATGTAATACTACACTCCGGCCACAGGGCCGCAATACCCAACCCAGGGACGGCCTTCACCTTAATGAGGTGACCGAGGGGTGTCTTACGGTAATCTACGTATTGCTAAGTTGATTGAAGGAATATAGCCATGGGAGTCAACTGTATTAACTGTATTAACTATTAGTTTAGCTAATTACTTTACTCACCCACTTATTAGATTTAATCACCAATTTACAGTTCTGCTAATATGTTGCTCTAAATCGCATGTATTGTTTTATAAGCAAACCTGTAGGCTTTGGCATCCATCTCACTACTGTAGTATATAACGAAATGACGCCAAGATACTCATATACTACGCTATAATGCAGTGAAACAAGGTCTAGCCTGTAATCGAGCTTATTTTGTTTTTGCTTTTTCTATCATTACAAAAATGTGCACACACACAAGCCACTGCCAAGCTATTGAGCATGTTTTTGTACGCTGTTGTGGCGTTTGCCGATGTTATGTACCAATCTGCACAATCAAAATAAAGAATTAAAAAAAAAAAAAAAAATGCTTTTATTGCAAGATCTTTAGACTTTAATTTCTTAGAGTTTATTACAAATACTTGTTTTATTGATGTACTTACCAGACAACAAAAACAGGTATCCATAATTCCAATTAGATCAGGCAATGTTAAATCCTTAATTTGAATGGTGCCATCCTTTAAAGTAAAAAGATGAACAATTTAGGGCTTCTTTTCATTGCAAATCGATACCACAAAATATACATACTATTTTCTTTTCTTTACACAAACACACACTTTATTATATACGTAATAAAAATAAATATAAGGGGTTAATCTTAACAAAGAGTCCCTATAAATTATGTACAGGTTAAAACGAATTCTATATAATGTGGTGCAAGATTTACATGGTTACTCAATAAAGTGATAACTTATGGGAATGCAAAGTGAATGTCAAATTTAAAACCAAAATGGGAAAAATTAAAATCTCCAATTCAGCCATGCTTCCAGATCAGCTACTTCGGCCTTAAATTCGAAATTCACTTTGAATTTACCACAATTCACACTTAAAAGGGACACTCCAGGCACCCAGACCACTTCTGCCCATTGGAGTGGTCTGGGTGCCAACTGCCACTACTCTTAACCCTGCAAGTGTAATTATTGCAGTTTTCATAAACTGCAATATTTACCTTGCAGGGTTAACTCCTCCTCTAGTGGCTGTCTACTAGACAGCCACTAGAGGGCACTTCCGTGATTATAGCACACGAAAAGTGTGCTATAGAGTCGCTGGACATCCTCACGCTATGTGAGGACCTCCAGCATCGCTGAAATCCCCATAGGAAAGCACTGAAAGCATTTTTTCAATGCTTTCCTATGGGGAGGTCTAATGCATTAGGTCTCCCCCACTGGATGACGGTGGGGGGGATGAGCGTGGGCGGACCCTCAGCGCTGAGGGACATCGGCGCTGGATACAGGCAAGTCATTGAAGGGGTTTTAACCCCTTCAGCAACTTGGGATGGGGGGTTGGGAGGGAGAGGGGACCTGCAATGCCAGGAAAACAGTTTGTTTTCCTGGCACTGGAGAGTCCCTTTAATTGAAAAAACCCTAAGAGTATATTTCAAATCCTGGCAGTGAAGTCTGGGAAATGCCACTTAACAATGGGCAAGATTTGGATATTACTGACTTTTGTGAATAATGATGAGAAAACAACACATTTTGCCTTTAGGTAGACAAATATATTATTCACATTATTTAAATCAAAAGTATCATGGCTGATTTTTATTTTGTTGCCTATCAGATGCATTTTAACTAGCAACCAAGTAATCATGAACAAATTGTTTGACACTTGTGGAACTGGTCACGCATCTCATCAACGAATCAGGTATAGTGCAGCACTGTTATAGCACCAAACATTACTATTAGCCTGTGGGTATGACCAATGAAAAATTCAGTGTAATTATGACATCATACAACAGAACATTAGCTTTGCATTTGGTTATAGAGCTCATATATACTCAGGACCCATCTTGGTGCAGTGTCACATGTCAGTCTTCCAAATGGTAAGATATTCCCCTCTCTCTTTATCTCAGAATTGCTTGGTTAACCATACTTTGTGAATATGAAAGAAAAACCCAAGTACTCCTGGATGCTAAGGTTAAATTTAAAATATAACCTTTTTCTTTTTTTAATGAAAAGCTTTTACAGAGAAAATAAATATAACCATACAAGAAAAGTGTGCACAAGAGGTGTCAAGTATAGTAATAAGATTTAGAATAAATTATAAAGTATAGCTTGTCTGGTACATCCCCTGGCTCAAAGGCATAAAATGTTGTCTTAGGACCAAGGTGAGACAAGTCACACTTATTTAGCAGCACTAAAGTATGTAGTTAGGCATATAGATACTACCATTTCGATTTTTGTTATAGAGTATGGATAGCAAAAAGCTAGCTTTGACTTTTTTTTGTAAAAAAAACCAACAAAAAACTGGGGCATGGTGGCCACAGACCTAAATCATTATAATCATTACCATGTGCTTTAGTGGTTATGGTGCTAAAATAATATGACATAGAACATATGCATGTGAAGTGGACTATAAGATACTTACCTTTATGGCCTGTTCAAAATTAAGGACTTTTCGATTAACCTGATTACCAATCATTCCAGCATCCATTTTAGGATCCATCATTTCAATAGCTGACATTGCTTCAAAGAGTCCAAAGCTGGTAAAAAATTAACAAATATCAATGCTAAAAACATATTGCAAAGCTAGAGATTTGTGATATTCTAACGAATGATGGCATTAAAGGAAAGGTTTAACAAAAAAAAAAAAAAAACCCACACAAATAGTTACATAGCTGAAAAGAGACTTGCGTCCATCAAGTTCAGACTTCCTCACATATGTTTTTGCTGTTGATCCAAAAGAAGGCAAAAAAGTCTGAAGCGCTTCCAATTTTGCAACAAACTAGAAAACAATTCCTCCTTGACTCCAAAATAGCAGTCAGATATCGCCTTGGATCAAGCAGCTATTACCCCACTAATTAGAAATTATATCCTTGTATGTTATGCTTTTGGAAGTATTTATCCAATTGCTGTTTAAACAACTGTATGGACTCTTATAGAACAATATCTTCAGGCAGAGAATTCCATATCCTTAGTTCTTATTGTAAAAAACGTTTTATTTGCCTTAAAATAAATCTCCTTTAGGGTCTACAGCAACACCACAGGGAATATACTGGATGTACAAGACAATATAATAACTCCATTTACATGTAGAGATATGCAAGCACACTGACCCATCTTATTACAGTGAATGGCATTATACTCTAAACCCATTGTGTCAGAGGAAGAGAGGAGGTTAGTGCTGTAGCCTCCAATAAGAAATGCCACATAGATCTTGGTGGGTCTGAGAAGGTTATCAACCCAGGCCATAAATAACTGTAATTTAATAAACATTTTATTAGCACTGAGATAGAAATTTGTTAAGTTACAATATCTTCCTCTGAAATACCTTGAAACTTGTACAATAATAGTGTTGCTCAAACCAAAACTCAAGTTCCACCAGCAGTCCATGATTTTCAGCTTACGCATGTCTGTTCCAGTAGCCATGAATCCTGGATTGCAGGTTGCCCTTTTGTATTGGTTTGTGAAACCCTGCCTTTATCAAGCCATACTTACAGTTTGTCATGGAGCAACTCTCCCAGTTTCAGTTCTGTAACAGAGATACATGATAGCAATTACTGTTTTTGTTTAGTAACATAATATATGTTCAATAATGGCATCTCTGGAGATACTCACAACATCTGATTTCTAATAATCAACCACTGGACTACACCACAACAGTCAGCCTTTATATGTATGCTACTGGCAGAGGTGGCACTTATGGAATTCCATTTAGTGAAACAGATCTATGCCTTTTTTCTGAATGGCTGGTCACATCATTAGCTGGTTTGTATATTTGAAGGGACTCCGTAAACCACCTTAAAGGACCACTAAAACACTCGTTTTCCTGGCACTATAGTGCCCTGAGGCTGAAGTGGTCTGGGTGCCTAGAGTGGTCCCTTAACATGAGTATGACAAGTTTCTGATCAAGAACATTGGATGTGTTCTTTGGAGTAAAGAACGAAGATACAGCATCAGCTATGAGTTTGGAAGATGGCAGGAGAATGCTACCTTCCTGCCAGCATAGTACTACCTAACATTTTGTGAATGAGTAATCAAGGTCTGGGGATGTGTTTCATGCTTCATTGCGCCAGTGGAGGTGCACAATTTTAGAATAAAATCAATTAGCAAATTCATTGAGCTAGAGCCAACATACGTTTGATCGTACAAAGAGTGTGTGTGTTGTGTGTCAATATGTGTAGCGAGTAGAGAGTGGGAGATATAGATATATATATTACACGTACGTCAAGATATATATCATCTCTATCTCCATCTAGATAAAGCACATCACTCAGGGGACAAAATGTGTCTTCATATTTAATTATTCTATCAGGCAAACATATGTGAATTACATGCCAACGCCTCAATCCTCTCATTTGGGAGATTTTGGAAGACAACAATAAACAGCCAAATCAATATTATATAGATGCTAAAAAAGAAAAAGAGAGTGAATGGAACAGTAGCAAGACTGAAGATGTAATCAGTTACATAGCAAATAATACATGCGGTTAAGTTTGAAGACAGATTTTGTGCTCTAACTGGATATATCTTGCCCGGAGTTTGGCACCAGGGCTTATACATACACACACTGTACAGTAATAGCGATGGTCCTCTTTTAATAGCAGTCTAGCAGGCAAAAAGAAATTGTCCATTTTAACACCATTTTGTTGACATGTACTGTTTAAACTTAAGCTTCCCTTTATATGCAAGGCAGCCATGACGAGTACACCCCATAGATATATAAATCTCCACATATTATAATTGCAATTAGCAAAACTAGGAGACAAACGTTTGTCGCATTCTAGATTATCTTTCAAATGCAAGAAATTTAGCAAATCTAATTGTGTCGATGAAAACACTGTCAAACTCTTCAAACTCTGATGCTATGCCAGTAGTGCTTTAAGATATACGTAACAGAAGAGCCTATTTGTATATTAGACAAATCAAAAACTAAAATATATATTTTAAATTTAACTTAAGCTTACTTGTTACATTAGCCTACCAACTAAAATGAACTACCTTAGAGAAAAGTTGTGAAAAAAATTATCTTTACAATACTTAACATTCAGAACTAACTATTGATATTTACTATTTAAAAAGACAGATATAAGTTGGACAAAATTTTTAAGTGAACAGCATTCATTGGCCGAGTGTGTAGCGGACACTCGTTTCCTGTTAAATTTTTCTCAGAACTTATACAGCCAAAGTGAAATGAGATTTTTTGCTTTAGCTGTATAATTGGGATCAGAATCATTTCTCCATGTACTGTATGCATTATGATCACAGTTATAGATTACATCGCATTCACTTGGCAAATGGCTTCTGCTGATATACCTGGGATCCCAAGAAGTCGGCAACAATAAGAACAGCAAGTCCCTAGTACTCTCAAAAGCATGCAGTGTATTTTAAAAAAAACACAGGCTACACTGCCATGCAGTGCAGAATGTTAACAGACAAAGCTCAAGAGAGTTAAATTGACCTTTACAGTTTTAGACTTTTTTTTACCCTACAATTATTTTTAGTCAATCCTTGGTATGAAAAGATTTTAATTACCATGACAGGCATCCCGGAATTCCTGAGTTATGTCTATCCAGTTGGTATTGCTCTTCATCATTTTGTATTGCATTTTGTACTTCATGGAAAGTTCCCAAGCAGAATCATCATCTTCCATGGATGCTTTCATAACCATTGCACGGGAGCTTAATACATAAAACAGACCAGATATGTCAGAACAAAAAATGATTAACTTCGCATCAAAATCCCCAAATAATGGTATATTACTGCATAGTTCAAAATACATTAATGTACAGCAAACAAGATTACTTTTTTCCAGCTGACTGGTCAAAATCAAGGTTAATAAGGTTTTGGCACATTAAACCATTAGGAACGATACATAACATTTTTAGTCTTTACAGTAAAGGCATTGTATTTTTGTGGCTTTTTCATTAATCTCCTGCTATATCAAGTAGCAAGTTGGGTGTACCTGGCCATGAGTGCTCAAAACAGACAGCAAACGTAGGCACTACTCAAAACTATGAAAGCTTTTAACAAGTTAATTTCCAACTGACTGCAATGAAGACTTGGCTTTGCAGTTCAACTCTGGCAAACATTTGATATATGGAGACTGGACGAAACCTGCTAAAAAGGAACAAGCATAGTCCACAGCTACAGCGAGCAATATGGCGGCCAGGCTGACTCGGCATGAAACCACGCGGCTGGCGCCATACCCGGGGAGCACACTAGACACCCTGACTCAGCGCATAGACGCAGCCTTCGATCGCTTCTGGATGAAACTGGAGGCTTATACTCAAGCGGAGCACGCCCGGGGCCGAATTGATGATGGGAGCGGAAAGGAACTGGGCACAAGCAGGCTCCCTCAGGGCGCAACTAACACACCTCAACCAGTACCAATAGATGCTGGCCCTCCTGGGCTGAGAGCGCATAGGGAGGTACACTCCCGGCATCACCCACAGAAGCGGAGACTCCGACGCCGCAGGCGGCAGGGAAACACCAGGAGCTCCAGCGGTCCCCAACGGGGGAAGGATCCGGACTCTGAAATGAGGCCCCGAATCCGTGGAACAGAGATGCAAGCCCTCATCAGAGCCTGGGGCTGGAGGGACACTGACTCATGCCCCCGCCTTCCACCACCACACAGAGGCTCCAGTGGGCCTCCGAGCACGGGTGTCGGCTGAAGCTAGACCCACTCTGCAGGACTGGCCCCCAGCCACGCTAGGCTGTTACCCACGAGGCTGCTACCGCCACTATAATACCATCAACTTCGGGACATGAACAATGCAGGGTCTACTTAGCAGCCTCCATAAGGCGTGGGTATGCGGGGACTCAGTGGCTCATATACTCTGTATGTTTATACTTTTGACTCTCACAGTTAAGCATTTATTTTCCCTAGCACGCACTGTAACGTTAACATGCATGTTGTGCGTCCACTCAATGCTCCTTTAGCCCGTTGGCGCATGCTTAGACAACCTATGTGACCCAAGTATGCATACTAATGCAGAAACTAGGTTATGCTACCTGAGTTAATCATTACCTAACGTAGTATAGCGCTGTATGTTAACCAATTTACACTCTTCATTTATAAGCAAAATATACTAACCTGTCTGCACAGTCACCATTATATGCATATATTGACGTTAGAACTGTATTAAGTTTAACTAATATTACTCAGTCGACTAGTCTCAAATTCTAGCTGTCTAAACACATTGCACAACATGCTCACATATTGCAGTCACACTGGCTTAACTAACCAAGCATCGTAGCATTTTGTGTACCTAACTAGCTTAGGTGTAGGCTGGTTTTGCTTATGTTCAAACGCATACTTTTTGTCTTAAAAAAAAAAAAGAAAAAAGGAGGCATTACTAATCTGGAAATGAGACATATTACTGATGTATTAATCCAAAACTGTAACTCACTCGAACATTTTCTCTGTTTTCTCTTCTGTATCCTATCTCATATGCCTTAAATAAAAAAACAGATTGACTAAAAAAAACAAAAAAAAAACAACAAAAAAAAAACATTTGATATATGTGACATTTTCTAATGTTAACCTGCTTGATTTAGCTTTCAATACATACTGAACTTAAAGGAACACTGTAGTACCAGGAATACGAACATGTATTCCTGACACTATGGTGCTGAAAAGGATGTTTAGGTCCCTGGCCCTCTTCACTGCAGAGTTAAAAGGTTATTTTTACTTACCTTTTCTCTGCCGTTCTGGTCTTGCGGCGGCTGGCCACAACTCTATGACTGAAATCGTCAGTCCTGATGATCTCAGCTAATCTAAAATGCATGAGAAAGCATTGGGAGGCTATTGCACGTATGTGGTAATATGCATCTCCTCATTGAGATGCACTAAATCAATTTATAGGAAAGTACCAGGGACATAAGGTTCATGGTTGCGCTCAGACACTCAAATGCATTTAATTTAATGCTACGCTATGAGAAGCAGTGGACACTTTTAGCCACTATTCCCTATAAGCTGCGTGCAAACTCAATTTGCCTGCAGTACAGATAATAAAATTATGAGGGCACGCAGGGCCTGTGCTCCATTATAGGTGCTGCACGGGTCAATGAATCTAGGCCATGCCTCAGCGGGATGTCAATACATCTCGTGAGAGTACAGCCGAGAATCACAGAGACAAGCGGCACGCATAAGGGAGCAGACTCATCACGCACCATCAGGTAAAGCAGGCATGATAAAATTTACGCAATCAGGCATGTAAGCATAATAACATTTATGGAATGCGGAATATGGGCAATGTGGCATGATTTTAGCATAATAAAATGAAGGCAAACTGAAATTTATGTAGGCAATGTAGTATGTGAGCATTTTAGAATATATTCAAATTAAATTTGTATTAAAGGTAAACATGGCAATACAGTTTTATTAACTGTGTGTGAGAGGCTGTGACAAAATTTTCAACTACTAAACATTTAGAGGGAACATTGCTTTCAGCATCAGTATTCTGAAAGTTTATTTTTTTGAAATTCACCATTGAGAAAATGCCTCTATTGGCATCAGTCTGACAGTCTCTAGGGACACGTTCTCTAACAAACGTAAACATTAACGTTTCTGAAAAAAGGCAATGATTTAAACAGTCAGATAAAAAGTGGCAACATCTATTTATTAGGACGAAGTGTTACATCTCCCATGATGTTACTTTATACTTGCACAAGTCCACAGATCACATCTGCTGAGTCAATAGATATAGTAAATTAGAGATAATCCATGGTCTCTCATTAAAGATTTACAATATTTCAGGTGGACTTAAGCCATCTCAGTCATTCATAAGGATCCTAGAGTAGTAGTTGTGCCAGCAGGAATAAATGAGTAAATCAATTCCGGTGTAGAAATAAAGAATAAAAAAAACAAGCACTCAGAATCCTTTTAATGAAACACTTAATGGAACTCAAACATGTATTCCTGACACTACAGTGGTAAAATAACTTTTTTGATCCCTGGCCCCGTTCTTTACAGGAAAAAGGTGAGTTTACTCGCCTTTTTTCCGCACTCGTCTGCCGCCGTGGCCAAGATCATCAAACTTGATGATCTTAGCCAATCCAATACTTTCCCATAGGAAAGCATTAGTAGACTATTGCGAATGTGAGACAAAACACCACATTGTAAAAATCAGCAACTCCTCAGAGATGCATTTCATCAATGCATTCTATGTGGAACTTGCAGTTCTACACACTGTGCAGCACTGTCACAGGGAGCATCTTTAGTGGCCGCCTGAGTGACTGCCACTCGAGGTGTTACTAGGCAGTAATGTAAACACTTCATTTTCTATGAAAAGGCAGTGTTTTCATTAAAAAGCCTGCAGGGAATAACAACATTAAGCTGTAGTTGTTCTGGCAACTATAGTATCCATTTAGGACTACGTCTTAAGCAACAAATGTATTGTTCTTACTTTATGACATTTACATTAAGATGAAACTACCATTTGACTCCAATATCCTTGAAATAGTTGTGTACCCTAGATTGACTGACATCCTTGAATCCAATTCTCTGCTTGACTCATTTAAGTCTGTATTCCACACTCGTCACGCTGTTGAAAAGGCCCTGACCAAAGTATCCAATGATTTAATTGCTGCTAAACCCAGAGGAAGCTACTCTCTCCTAATTCTCCTTGACATTTCTGCTGCTTTTAACACTGTTGATCATCAACAATGCTTCTCATCTGCTGTAATCTTGGCCTACTAGACTCTGAACTTTTCTGGTTCTCTTCCTTCCTCTCCCAGCTCTCTTTCAGAGTTTATTTTTCTGGCTCTTCCTCTTCTCTGCAGCCCCTCTCTGTCAGTGTTCCCCAAGGTTCTGTCCTTGGTCCTCTACTGTTCTCGATCTATACTGCATGCCCTGGTAAACTCATCAGCTCTTTTGACTTCCAATATAATGTCTCTGTGGATGACACACAAACCTCTCTCTCACGACTCGTGTCTCTTTCTGTTATTTCTAACTGGATGGCTGCTCATTTTCTTGAACTTAAATGACCACTATAGGCACACGGACCACTTCAGCTCAATGAAGTGGTCTGGGTGACAGGTCCCCCTCGTTTTAACCCTGCAGCTAAGAGAAACTACTATGTTTTCATTGAGGGTTAAAGGGACACTATAGTCACCTGAACAACTTTAGCTTAATGAAGCAGTTTTGGTGTATAGAACATGCCCCTGCAGCCTCACTGCTCAATCCTCTGCCATTTAATAGTTAAATCCCTTTGTTTATGAAACCAAGTCACACCTCCCTGCATGTGACTTGCACAGCCTTCCATAAACACTTGCTGGAAAGAGTGCCCTATTTAGGCTTTCTTTAATGCAAGTTCTGTTTAAGATTTTCTTATCCCCTGCTATGTTAATAGCTTGCTTGACCCTGCAAGAGCCTCCTGTATGTGATCAAAGTTCAATTTGGGGTTGAGATACAATTATTTAAGGTAAATTACATCTGTTTGAAAGGTAAACCATTTTTTTTTCATTCAGGATCTGTCAAGCATAGCCAGGGGAGGTGTGGCTGTGGCTGCATAAACAGAAACAAAGTGATTTAACTCCTAAATGACAGTGAATTGAGCAGTGAAATTGCAGGGGAATGATCTATACACTAACACTGCTTTATTTAGCTAAAGTAATTTAGGTGACTATAGTGTTCCTTTAATCCAGCCTCTAGTGGTTGTCTCCCTGATCGCCACTAGAGGTGCTTCCGCGATTCTCAGTGTGAAAATCACACTGAGATGACGCTGATGTCCATAGGAAAGCACTGAGCAATGCTTTCCTATGAGCGGTTTGAGTGCGTGTGTGGCTCTTGCTCATTCGGCGCGGACTTCAGCAGGGGGAGGAGAGGTCACCAGAGCCGAGGGAGCCCGGCACTGGATTAAGGTAAGTGGCTGAAGGGGTTTTAACCCCTTCAGCCCAGTGGGAACTAATAACCCTATAGTGTCAGGAAAACGAGTTTGTTTTCCTGGCACTATAGTGGTCCTTTAAGCTGTAAAAAACAGGGCTTTTCGTCTTTCCTCCATCACGTGTTTCTACTCTTGTGTCTGTCTCCCTCCAATTCAATAGCACTACCAACAGCTTTACCTCGCAGGCTCACTGCCTAGGTGTTCTCTTTTACTCCAACCTATCCTTTATCCCTGATGTCCAGTCACTCTCCAAATCCATCTCAAAAACATAGCTCACATCCACCCCATCTAATGCTGGATGCGGTGCTGGTCCCTGCCACGATCATCTGTCACCTTGACTACTCCAATCCACTTCTCAGTGGTCTCGCAGGTTTCAGCTTGCCCCTTTACAGTCTACAATGAATGCGGCAGGGAGGATCATCTTCTTGCCCGCCCATTTCTCCTCCCTCTGGCTTCTAATAAGATCCAATCTGTCTTCTCAGAACATTTAAAGCTCAATTTAAAATTCTGGTGTTTTCTTTCAAATCTCTAAGTAACGCTGCTCCTACCTTCTTATCCTTACTAATACACAAGAATGTCCTGTCCAGGACCCTATGCTCTGTCGAGAAACTGCTTCTGTTTGTACTCACACCTCTGACGCCCACCTTCAAGACTTCTCTAGGGCTGAGCCGCTCCTATGGAACTCCGTTTCCTTCTCTGTTAGGCTCTCACCCAGTCTCAGTTCCTTCAAAAGATTAAGACCTCACTTCCATAGAAAAACATTAAAATAAACTTTTAATAGCTTTCCCTCCCAGCACCTTGGTACCCACACCCCCCGCCCGCTTCTTCTCCTGGAACTGTGTCAACCAAAAGACTAACCCTCCATTGTAAACTATTCTAGTAACATCCTATCCTTACCTCTTGTGCCACTTCACCCCACTCCGCCAAGAATGTAGGCTTGTTTGAGCATGATCCTCAACCCCCTCTGTACCTGAACATCCAAGTTGTCTTGTAGCAAATACTTGTTTGTTAGTCCACCTATTGTACAGCGCTGCAGAATTTGTTGGTTCTTTATAAATATTATTAAGGAAACTGTTTATGTTTTTTTTTTAATGGGGTTTTGATCTACTTGCGTGCCATAAGCATTTGAAAGATAAGGATTCAACATTTGTGCTGGAAGGATGACATCCTATCATATAGATATCATTTTATCTAGTACAGCCTGCCGTAGTGGTTATGCAGGCAGAAATACCCTGGTATTTTCCCACCAGGCCCCCTCTATAGGCAGGTTTATGACATCTGCAGCATTGCAGAAGTCAGATGGTGACTCTGGAGCTCATTCATTCGTCAATGAGGGCCCCTCTATGCATAGAAATATGCAAAGAACTGACATTAGCCTGGCCACTTTTTTCCTGGGCTGGTGAATGATGCCCCAATGACACAGCTGTTAGAAGAGTTACACATTAGTATGTGCAGCTTTTCATTGCAAAATGCTACACATACAGACTCAAGTCATCAAGGCCACTTCAAAACATTGAAGTGGTAATGGTGCCTAGAGTAACCCTATAAGATCTATAAGAATTATCTGCACACTGTATAATTTGCATTTTTCATTTCAATAGGAATGCATATAAAATATAACTGTATTAAATAAAATTAAACCTGTAGCAAACAAATTTGGGTGGCAACATTTAGACTACTGTAGCCGAGTTGATAAATGTCAACTAATTAGTCAACTATTTTAGGTGGAATTTTGTAATTGAGACTTCAGTTTGCTAAATAAACCGCCTTGGCCTTATCTTTTAGTTCTTCTGAGAAATATTAAGCAGGCAGCAGATTCCAGATGGGAAAAAGGTACAGAGAATGTGCATTCCAGGCACTGTAACAGGAACACTCTGCCCAGCAGAACCCTTTAATGTTAGGATGGGCGGGCAGTCAGTGCTCTCTCTCTGTATGTACAATGGATAATTCTGGCAGTGCAGCCACTGTGGACTATAACTCTCATAATGCTCAGCCAGCGGTTGTGCAGTACTCTGTCCTCCCCCTGGCTGGCTGGCTGATGGCCATGTGAGTGGTAGTCTACAAGCTGTTGTAAGGTGATAGCAGACCCATGTCCCAGTATGGGCTCCGCTGCTGGCTCTGCACATGGTGACATTAATGACAGTAAGGGAAAGTATTGGGATTTAGCCCCTCTGCTGCCCGCTGACATTAAACGCCGGGCACTGCCCGCTCGGCCTCACAAGTTCACCCCCTGCCCTGACACTCACAGCCCCGTTAGCCCCTTACGCCTCACCTCCTTCACCGGCTTACAACCCCCAGCTCCACGTTACGTACAGCTATCCTGCGTGATGACATCAAAGACGGGCGGAACAGCGGCTCTGTGTGTTCCATTGTGCTGCTCCGAGGCATGCCGGGTATTCTCGCGATGATTAGCGGCGTATCAGTGTCTAGCCTTGCTAACCATGTCGCAGTGACGTCACTAGGCCTGCGCCGCCAGTGTGTGCTGGGTAGTGAGTGAGAGAGCGGTGCTGTCACAGGCACCGGCGGGAGCCAAGCAGGATTGTCTGAGCCACGCCCAGTTCTGTAACTTTATTATGTTTGATCAGTACAATGTTTGCTATATATTCTTCAAACCATGACTACTTCTGCTTTTAGCAGTGGTTGTGGTGTTAGGATGTGCAGTGTTTCTGCTTGAAGTTAGGGATCGACCGATATTGATTTTTTTTAATTTTTTTTAAAGAATATTTATATGTGTGTGTAGTGAATGCAGTGAGAGTATTTGATTAGTAAATGCAGTATGTGTTTTTGTGTGCGTAAGGAACTCCCCTCATCCCCACCCCTTAACTGTCTCTTAGTGCCTCCCCTGTTCCTCTCCCTTCTTTTTCAGTGCCCCCCCCCCCCGTGTTTCTTTTCCCTCCCCTGTACCTTAGTGTCCTCCCTTAAGGCCGCTGGATGGAAATATTCCGTCATTGCAGCACTCCCCTTAAGGATGCTGGACGGAAAATGTCTGTCCAAAATGAAAATTAATCCCAGATTGCCGCAATCGTGGGATTAATGTTCCTGTAGTGTGTCTCCATGTCGGAGGCACACTACTGCGGGAAGTTTCACTGAAACAGCCCATGTGATGATCACACGTGCTGCAGTGAAACCCGATCTGTTTCCCTGCAGCTCCATGTGAACTGCAGAGAGACAGATCTCACCTCCCACCTCTTTCAAATAAAATTTAACTCCTTCCCTGTCGGCAGTGATCAAAATACAGATCACAGTATTTCACTGGGGTGTCTTCTTTAGGAAATGGTATGCCTTTGTGAAGTAACTGGAAAACACAACCTATCTAAAAATATTTCAAAAGTGGGGCATGGAACCAGCGTTGAAATTCATACTTAAATGGCTGTGTCTCAAATGTGCCCCTTCAACGTTTGTAGACAACCTAGGAGAGCGATAATTGGAGGGAAGGTATTATAGACTGGGGACAATATTCACTATCTTTCTTCAACCACAGGAACACCAGGTACTTGAGCAGCCCAGACCACTTGTTACCTTGGAACTGTTTTGGGCTTCATCCTGGTGTGTGACCGGTCAAAACTTTACCCTGGTGGCGATTGGACAATTCCGTATGCATCCGGTACTCCCAGAACTTTGTGTCATCCAGTTACTGGGGGTATAGAGCTATTCACTTTTCAGCGCCTTGTTCCAGTTCGTGAAGGAGTCAGATAAGAAAGGACTAGAGCTCTGCTACACATACAGAGGGGCTTGAGGGGAGGGGGGAGAACAAAGAGACAAACAAATGGGCTGGGAGGACAGAGACACAGCGGTGCTTGGGGGGGGACAGACTGTGGTACACAGAAGGGTTGTGGGGAGAAAAAGGCACACAGTGGGGCTAGAGAGGACAAAAAGGCAGAAGGGCGGGTGGAACAAAGAGGCATACAGAGGGTTTGGAGGGCAATGATACTTAGGGGGTCTTGGCTGAACACAGAAGCACACAGAAGAGTTGGTGGGATATAAAGGCATAAAGGACTGGGGGGACAAAGATACACAGGGTAAAGAGACAATTGGAAGGACAAAGGCACACAGAGGGAGCTGTGGGGGGGCAAAGAGACACACAGAGGAGTTTAGGGGGGACGAAGAGACAAAGGGACTGTGTGTACAAAGGCACACAGGGGCAAAGAGACACACTTGGGGGACAAACAGACACAGAGGGGCTGGGGGGGGGCAAAGGCACACAGAGGGGCTGGGGTGTCAAAGACACAGAGGGGCTTAGAGAGACAAAGACACACAGGAGCTTGGAGGATAAAAAGGCACACAGAGGGCCTGGGCTGAGTAAAGAGGGGCAAAGAGACACAGGGCTGACGATTTTTGTCTTTTGGGGGTGGTGCAAGTATCTGGTCTTGTCTAGGGTGCAAAATAGTCTAGCACCGGCCCTGCCTTAGTGTGAGTGTCTCCCACAGACCATATTACTGTTTTATTCAGGGGCACTCATGCCCCGAGGAAGGGACCTAGCAACTTGGTATTAAAAGCTTGCTCTTAACCTCTATGTCAGGATACTAGTTGATCCAGCACGCAGAACTGTATCACACTTAGGACTAACGTATTACCGGGCCTTAGAATGGCCGGACTTAACATACCATAGAATAGTCAAAATACTTGCCAAGGTTGGGGACACAGAATGAGACACAACAATGAGGGAAAGCCAAAATTAAAGGATACCAGAATACAGGGAAGTCAAACAAAGCCAACGTCAATAACCAGAAATACACGCTGAGGAACACACTCTCGGACAACCGCTAAGGGAAACCACAACAGGGCAATGAGGAAAAGGAAAAAGGAGTTTAAATAAGCCTCCCTTAGATCTGATTGGCTGTACCCGGCCTCTGACCCCAGAACATGCGTGCGTGTCCTTTGCGTGACGTCACACGCACGCCAACCTCGTCACTACCGTGGGAAGACGTGGGGTTATAAATTGAAATGGATCCGCAGCGGCCGGCGTCCTTCAACATGCTGCAGGAGTCAGATACGCCGTAACATGGCTGCTGAGTAGAAAGGCATTTTCCATTACGGACAGCGAACATGTGACATTACCCCCCACCTGAAGATCGCCCACCGGGCGGACAGGACCCGGCTTGAGGGGAAATTTGGGCTGGAAATAACTAATCTTGCGACCAACATGAATACCGGAGGCCGGAACCCAAGAGCGTTCGGCAGGCCCATAACCCCTCCAATCAATCAAATGCTGTAATGAACTACGAAAGAACCTGGAATCGATTATGGAAGAGACTTCATACTCCTCCTGTCCAGAAACAACAAATGGGGGAGGTGCAACAATTATTGCAAATAAGAAACATGCATGGCGGGGGAAGACAGGTAAATGAAGAGACTGACAGGTAAGTCTCTACATTCACCTGTCACAGCACTCTGGTTGGTTGGCTTGAAATCCACCAATCAGAGTGCTCTATGTTGCGGAATGCCGAACCGAACTGAAAATTTTCCCCATGCACATGCCTAGTGGCCAATGTAATGATGCCCACTCTTTTGGAAATGTGCAACATACATCTCTCAGTACAGTCCTTGCCCCATTCCAATATTTCCCCCTTTGCCCAGAAATATGAGGATTATGCTTAATAAGCCAAGTAAATCCTAATATGATGGGACAAGAAGGAGAAGCAATTATTTGGAATGTTATGTCTTCCTTGTGTAAGGCACCAATGGAAATGTTAATAGGCAAGATTTCTTGGGTAATTAAGGGTTAAGAGAGAGGTCTCCCGTCAATAGCCTCAACGACCAGAGGTGATAATGTCTCCTTGATAGTTATAAAATACAAATTTACAAAATGTACATCAATGAAGTTTCCTGCCGCATCTGAGACCATCAGGGCTTTGCATGAAAAGTTCTTCTTGTTACATTTGGCCGTAATATCAAGGAGGAACTATTTTTGTTATTCCCAGAGAACGTATCCATCACACCTAAGACCTGTCCTCTTAAAGGACCACTCTAGGCACCCAGACCACTTCAGCTTAATGAAGTGGTCTGGGTGCCAGGTCCTTCTAGGGTTAACCCATTTTTTTATAAACATAGTTTCAGAGAAACTGCTATGTTTATGAATGGGTTAAGCCTTCCCCCTAATCCTCTAGTGGCTGTCTCATTGACAGCCACTAGAGGCGCTTGCGTGCTTCTCACTGTGATTTTCACGGTGAGAGCACGCAAGCGTCCATAGGAAAGCATTGTAAATGCTTTCCTATGCGACGGGCTGAATGCGCGCGCAGCTCTTGCCGCGCGTGCGCATTCAGCCGGCGGGGCGGAACGGAGGCGGAGAGGAGGAGTAGAGCTCTCCGCCCAGCGCTGGAAAAAGGTAAGTTTAAACCCCTTTTCCCCTTCCAGAGCCGGGCGGGAGGGGGTCCCTGAGGGTGGGGGCACCCTCAGGGCACTATAGTGCCAGGAAAACGAATATGTTTTCCTGGCACTATAGTGGTCCTTTAAGGTTCTTAGGTGCAGAAGTTTTCCGACATATGGGACAAACACTCCTCATATGTCTTTTTTACCGCTGTATAGGTACAGACCCTCTTTACTCCTATATTGTCTTTCTGCCTCTGACAGTCTAGTGACCCCCAACTGCCTAGGTTTGGGTTTGGACTGCACAGGGAGGTCAGGAACAATAGGTCTGGAGAAACGAGGTGCTAATGACATAGCCATATGTCTGGTTCTATTTCTGGTAGTTTCTCTGGTTCTAAGTCTATCATCAATCTTCATGACAAACGTGATAAATTCATTTAACATTTTAGGTAGATCTTTGGCAGCAATCTCATCCAGAATTGCCTTGGATAATCCTATTTTAAACACAGAGATTAACCTGCTATTAGTCCAGTCTACCTCAGAAATCAAAGTGCGAAATTCTATGGCATAATCTAAAATAGACCGGTTCCCTTGTTTGATATGCATTAGGGCAGTGGAGGCGTCATCCTCCCTACCTAACGGTTCAAATGTTAATTTGAATTCCTCAAGGAATTCCTGGTAATTATATGCAATATATTACTCTCCCATAAAGGATCGGCCCAAGCTAAGGCTTTACCTTTTATTTGGTTCATTATGTAACCAATCCTAGCTCTATCCAAAGATCCCGGTGAAGCCTCAAAGTGGTATTCAATTTGATTTAGAAATCCCTGGCATTCTTGAATATTACCATCAAAATGCGAGGAAGGAGATAGGGAGATAGTAGGTGCCTTAAATACTATAGGCGGAGGTACTTTAGGCAGAGGTGACATAGACGGACATTCATTGAAACTTCACTCTACAAAGCTCAAATTTGAAGTGCAATTTCTAAACTGTGACTGTGCCTTCATTTTTAATACTTCAGAGACAAACTATGCATCAAAATGTAGGTCTGGGTCTTGTGATTCTCACAATATAAAGCTCTTCGCTGTAGGATTTATAGTTTTTAAAATACGACCGTTTGAAGATGGCACCCGCCAAAATACTCTGACCTGTGTCAGGCTGCAGCAGCAAGTGATGTCATAGACAGGGCCTTTTGAACACCTGCTAATGTTTTATAAATGTATGGTTTAATGTAACTGTGCAACAACGTTGCAATTAAATGTGCTATATAAATGATAACAGTTACTCCGCCCACTCCAGTTGTAGACTACTGGTGGAGGCAAGAACACTTCACACAATTTCCCCAGAAATTGTAGCTTTTCTAGTTAGTAAATATAATAACTACAGTTATTAGTGGCTTAAAATACCAGAAACCCCCCCCCAAAATAGAAAACATTTTTTTTACCAAGATCTGACAGCCATTGTGGAAAGTTACGTTCGTGAGATTGGATGCTTAACAATGAGAATCTTAATTGTTTAAGTATATTTACCAGCGGCTGTTGGGTGTAGCTTAAGATGATTTAGATTTTTTATTATTTCTAAAAGTGAGTTAAGAAAGCACTCAGATACAATATTGAAGGTATTTATATTTTAGCTCTGCCTTTGTATAAGTGGTTTTAACACTTCCATAACAATATATATCAGAATCTGTTGTAACTAAAACTGGTTGAAGTGGGGGTATGTTACAATCAGAATATGAATTAATAATCATATGCATGATGTATTGATTAAACAATCAATAGATGTGGCAGGATCATTACCACAAGGTATATGTACCTTTAATCATCACAAACCAAATAACATTTTCTTGGTATTTGAAAAACTGATAAAAGATTTGATTACGTGTATTTTAATATATATATATATATATATATATATATATAAAGTGGTATGGATGTTGAATTTATATCTTTGACATCTTTTCACCAGTTTGCAATAGGTGACCTAAATGATCAGTTTCCACAATCATCATGTAGATCACCTGGACGGGTTAATCCCTAATACTCTTTTACTTTCCATTGACTGGCTTTAGCTCTGGCAGACTGAACATGTTTATCATTATAAATAAACTTTATGATAGTTGAAGTAAAGTTTCTGCCTGTCTTTCAGTTAAATTTTAACTGTTGAAGTGCTTCACTTATATTAATTAATTATACCACTCTGCAAACTTAAACGAATATAGAATAGTTTCTGATTTAATAAAAACATTTTACATTTTCTTCTAAAGTTTAAACATTATTCATTATTGCAGTTGTTATTACAATCATATAATCTTTAACTATCACGATTCAATTATTCATCTGGGTAATTAGCTGTTATACTCTTCTACGTATGTCTAATATATTTGTTTGTAGGCCAGGCTGCAGCTGCATATGGCATTTTAGCAATAATCTTCAGTTGCGTTTCAGATATTCACAAAGTCTATCCACCTTTGTAATTAACACATTATGTGTTTCTTATACCATTAATTATAGTATCTCTATTATATTACACATTGTCACTGACACATTTCTGATACAGGGAAAAAATAGCATGATTGCTTTAGTAATTATAATTTTCGGTCCATGCACCACATTCCTGGAAGTCCAGAATATAGCAAGAATCCGTTGTCGTTTGATTCTATGGAGCCATTTAACATTTTGATTGGTATAGTTATACTAAAAGAGCAAGGAGTACGACGGTAGATCACATCTGCAACAGAACCATTACAGATTCCTTGTTGTATCAATGTCTCTGTGTTTATGTTTACAGGAGTTCCTTGCTTTGCAGGTATGTACATAATATGTAGAGTTTAAGAAAAGCTGCAAATCGTGCTTTAGTACAAGTGTGCCGTGATATCAGGTTTCTGAAAGATTTTGCTGTTCTTTTATATTCCATTCTCTTGGCAGGGCATCTGCTCTTAGTAAGCCGGTCTTGTTATTATTTATTAATTGCATCAAGGTTTCTTTCGTTAATTGATGTGTTTCTTTCTAATTCAAATTCATATGCCACCAAATGTCATTGTAAAGTTCATTGTTACAGAATATTGTTCCAGGATGGTTTTTCACTCCAGTAGGAAATCTATATTCCTCTTCTTCTGCTCCTTCCTATTAACCACTTTTTCTGAGTTGTAGGCAACAATCTGTCTTGTACTTTGAGGTGCTTTGATAGTCAATCTGGTTTTGTCAGTACCATGTTCCATCTTGAGAAACAGCTGGGGTTTGACAGTTATCAGCCTTTATTTCCTTTTCCGGTCATCTTCTGTCTGGAAACATAATAGCAATGTCCAGAATTAGCATAGCACTTCTTTTCAGCATAAGAAGGCTGTTTGCGGTAGTCACTCAATGATAAACTATATGGCAAAGTCTTTTCTTAATCACCTTCATAGGTGCATCCAAAGTCTTTCACAAGCATCTGTCCCGTCTTTTTCTGATTTCAGCATGCTTTGTCATCGTTGAGTCTATTATTAGGATTTGAAATAGTCCAAGTATAATCGTTTTTTTGGAATGATCTTCAATAGGTTCCTTGTGAAATACCAGTGTAGGCAATCATTTCACTGTGAGCTATGTCTCTCCTTTTGAGATAGTTCTTGGAGGTAGTCCTCACGATCACAGAATTTGTAAAGTGTGCAGTCCAATTCAGTTCAGATCCTTCCTGCTTGTTAACATAATCCCAATGCAGTTTTAAAACGACAGCTAGGGTTGATGTTATGATAATGCTGCAGATTCTAAGAAGGAGACACCATAACCAATTTTCTAGCATCCTTTAGCTTCCATCTTTGCATTTCTTTCTTACTGTATAAGATAATTTAGGTTCAGTCTGTTTTCTCCAGAGTCTTTCTTATAATGATGTTGATGATTCATTTTTCATACGTTCCATGTTAACTGTGAATGTATCACTTCTGTCTGTTCATCCTTCTCCTTCACATTTGCAGGTTCAGATGCCAGATCATGATTTAGTCTGTTACATGGCTATGATTCTGGTGGCATTTCTGTCTTCCTCTGTTTGATTTATCTTGTTATCTTTAACAGCATCCATTGTATCAGTCAGTGGTTTTGTGAACGTCCTGTTAGTATTTAGCAGGTTTAAAATATCAAAACTTACTGTTCTCTGTTGGCTCTGATTGTTCTCTGTAGTAAAAGTTCTCGGAGTCACCCTCTCCAGGACAAACTGTCCAACAGTAAGAAAAAGTTGGTGGTGCAAGGCAAGGTGGGCTGAAAAAAAAAATCCCTAAATTTCTCTAATAGAACCAATGGTTCTAAGCTCTCCCTGGTGCAGAAATATAATTGTCAGTGAAAAAACATGTAACATTTCATATGGTGTCTCACCATTTGTATCATCAGGTATGTTGTGAATGCTTATCTGTACCATAGAAGTAAATAGATACCACTGTGTGGGGCAAGCAACTAGTAACTTGGTTAATAGTCATTTAACCTCAGCATTTTCCCAGACCACAACCCCACTTCTTTGGGGGTGGTTGGCGCATTGAAATCCCAAAGTAACCCAAATGTGGTTGCCCAGTTTTAGGTTTCCTTTGCAGTAACTGCAGGACCACCATCCAAATGGATGGTCCTGGGATTATCAAATGCATACTAAGGAAGTGAGACTAGAAAACGTGGCATCAGAGGTTGCACTTTGCACAGGATATATCCAAGTAAACCTGGTACATGCATCAACACATACAAAAACATATTTATAACCATGAGATGTTGGCATTGGATAGTACCACTGATTTAAGTAAACTTTCCCTTTTAAAATTGGTGGACTTTAACCCTGCCATTGCAGTAGACTAAAGACTGTACCTGAGTAAGCAAAGTCATTATGTGCAGGAATTGTACACTTTAAATAGTAGAATACTTATGCAATTTTAGTGAATTGAGCTGGCTGCTTAACACATCATTTAGTATCTTTTGGTCACATTTAAAGCTGTAAATGTATTTAACATTTTATTTAAATAAGCCTTTAATAATTTCATTTTAAAAGTTATCAGAGATCCTGTCTAGTTACAATTTTATTTTTCCCTAATTTATCTTACATATATATTATTTTTAATTATTTTATAAATATTTATTTTTGCAGAGCATTTAGAGAAGCAAAGGATGTATAACCACCTGTTGCCCTTTTTTCTAGGAGGGCAGTATAATTTGAACTCTGTTTAGGAAAAAAATAAGCTAGTTAGCATATATTATATAAAATATATGCTGCAATGTACTGCACTCAATGTATTTAAAAGCCATGTCTTTCTCTTTATGGCTGTATGTAATAATGTTGTTCATAATTTGGAATATAAAACAACGACTTCTCAATTCCTTGGAATGTTTACATGTCTCTGTATCTCTGCAACCTTGGCTGGAAATTCCAGACTCCAAAAATAGTTATGCTGTTATAATTCCTGATTTTTAATAAACAGCTAGTGTAACTGACAATATGGAAATTGTCACTGTTTTATAAAACTTTTCATATACAGTGGACTGTCTGTCTGTCGCTTCTGTGTCATGAATGTTTTCATTAAGCCATAATGCAATTTTTTTTGCATTCTTGGAATTAGACTTCAAAATCTATTAGTAATATAATAGCAAGTCTTTTTTTTATCGCTCTGTCTTATCACTTTTCTTTTGACAACATTTTGCATTAATCTTTTTCCTGCGCATGCATACTAAGCAGCTACAAAGAGAACATATCCCCCTATCTGCAATCCACTGTCCTGGAACTAATGGGCCATGCTGTGCTTGTGTATTAGGCATATCAGGGAGTTTACCAAATATGTATATTTGTTCACTTATGATATTAATTAAGATCCACAATTTCAGCATTGAATGCTAATTACGATGTACCTGGCACCTGAACTCAAAGTGCCTTGTTCACATTAAAATCATCTCTAATGATGAAGATCTCTATCTGAGTCTGGGCTACAAATAGCTCAATATATTCTTGATATTTCAAGACTTGTGCCATGACAAAGTATTGTGTCTTCTCTTACGTATAAGAGGTTACCTAGGTATTTATTATTTTATAGTTAAAGCTTCCAAGTGCAAGTCCCTTCGTGGTCACCAATTGTAACCGCAGGTGGTTCCCTTATTTACCACTATAATGTCTTAAAGCATAGAACTTTGTAGGGCTAACCATACAGATATCGTAGCCATAATTTTATATAGTTAGTAAGAGATCATCTATTTAACATATATAAATAATTGAGAATACAATATAAAATAAGGATTGTCTTGGAAGTAATAGTTTTGTCTTTTTGGATATTTATTATATAAAATCCATATAGCAGAGTTTATAAGATTAAACTAAATGCTTGCAAATATCATTAATAGGTTAACATACTCTTCTGAACATGTCATCATGTCAGCCTCTCTGTCATTTTAAGATGGAGCAGCGTCTGTCTCCAAGTCTCTCCTCTGTGTCTTAACATTTAAAAGTACACCTATTTATACCTTAGGTGTCTCCATTTTAGGGGTACCGTAGTTCATATATGAAAAAGTAACACTTTTACTTTATTCATTTTAGGACCTCCCTTAATTTGGCAAACATACAAGGTCATAACACTAAAGGGTGTATACGTCATGGAAATTTTCCTGACTTAGTTCAAGATGGCATCTTAAAGTCTGGACATCCTTATCTACTTAAGGTTACCACAGTAGCATAGCCTTGAAGCTTGTTTATGCATTATTGTTATTGTAATTCGTCTGGGACAAAATGGCGCAAACATATTATGCACTGAGGTTATTGCTTAAAGAAATATTTATGGAAAACAATATGTTCCATTTCTAACACCTTGTCAATTTGCAATATCTCTAAAAGACAAAGTACACAGTTTAAGAAATACAACATTTCATTCTAAAACTTGTAATATTTGCATTTGCCCATAACATTGGTGCAATAGGGAATCAACCAAATGTTATTTAAATTAATTGAAATGCAGCAAACTACAAGGAGTTCTGATATAAATAACCTCCAAGAAATCAAATGTAAAACCAAAAATGTAGGTGCACAAAGCAGTATAGAAAATGGCACTTTTACCACTTATATAATTGTTTGTCTGGAAATAAAGAAATATTCAATTTACTTCAACCCTTTGGCTGAGAGTGAGTTCATCAAGTACACTACCTCTGGATCCCACGTTCTACAGGGACTGGTCCTCCCAGAGCCTGATAGTTTGGAGTGGTACTTCAACCACTCCACAATTGTGAGTTTATTACTTCTGCACATACTTTTGAATAATTTTTGTACAATATTGCACCAGGTTCTTGTTTTTTTATGTATTCTAGAATAAGCTGTTCCTGAATACAAGTACAAGTGCAAGTATATGTCTGCTTGTTTTAATATTTCTTGACCACTTGGTGTTTTGTGCATGCTTTAGCTGCTCACTGGTCTCGTTTGTATTTTTGCATATACTTGTGTATATATATTGGTGTATTCTGTACTTACCAAATTGTCTGTCTAAGTATATTTCTCTGGCTGCCATTTTCTATACTGCTTTGAGCACCTACATTTTTGGTTTTACATGTATACAGTTTGCACTATGTATATTTGTATTTTTTTTTGTAGATCCCTGCTGGTATTAATAACTGCAATTTACAATTGGAAATCTAACATCCGATACCTTTTTAAGAAGTATATATTTTTTTAACCACTGGGTGGTGTAAGCAACTGGTTGTTTTTCCAACTATTGTTTTTCTTTGGTTTATATATGTATTTTAAGGTTGTATGCTGTCCCCATTATAATGGGCTTTTAAAGCTGTTGTGGCGGCATAGAACGCTGTAACGGCTTGCTGCCCTGGAGCCTCAGGAATACTTTTTTTTTTTTTTTTATTCTTTATTTTTTCCAAAACAGGACATCTTATACATTACGTACATAACCATTGGCAGACATTCACATAATACATACAAAATGCTTTAATTTTCGAACTTCGAAATACAACAGTATCCACTAGATAGCAGAACTGTGAACACCCACAAGCTTCATGAACATGTCTAGCGGTTATGTACATAGTTGCCAATTTGTGGTCGCTTCCCCTTCTTTACATGCATCTTAAGTCATCCCGCTTGGTGTTTTTTATTGTTAAGATATAATAAAAAGAATAGAAGAAAATATATAACTATCATGCTCTAAGAGCCGCCAGGGGCATATGTGAGTGTTTGCGTTTGCTTCTCCAGATACGTCATTTGCCCCTGGAAATTCCTGTGTGTAAGATCTTTTTAATGTAAAGAACATAGAGAATTGTTCCAGGATTGGAACTATGCAATGGAAAGGAAAGGACAGTTCCCTCGAAGGTCCGAGGGGAGAAAAAGATACAGGTATGCGTGAAAGTGGAAAAGAGGAAAGAGAAAAAAAAGGGGGGGGGGGGAGAAGGGGGAGAACCCCAGGGAGGCCCGACCGGTAAGAAGCAAACAACAAAGAGTGTCACCTTATTGCAACCATTTATCCTACCCGACTCATAGTTGCCCATTCTCAAGGGGAGGTGAGTCTGGAAGAGGCTGTCTCTAACTCATCTTTGTGTTGCCCTGAGTGGTACTATGTCAGGTATGTATGCTTGGTCCTGCCCACAGTCCCAATCACTAACTGTACTATTGATCCAAGGGTCCCAAATCTTTTCAAATTTCTTTGTAGTCCCTCTGACCTGAGCTGTCAGTTTGTCCATTAGAAAAGTATCCTTTATTTTATGTTTTACTATTGCTATCGTAGGAGTGTTTTTCTGTAGCCATCCCTGTGTTAGGGCTCGCCTTGTGGCTAGGTTTATTTTGTGGATAACGTTTTGTTCTGTCCTTGTCCAATCATCTATGGATCTAGCTAATAGGAACACCCACGGATCTAATTTCACCTCTCTGCTGAATACATCTCGCAGCAATGCTGCGATCTGATCCCAGTATGTCCGCACCACTGGGCATTCCCACCACATATGGATATATGTGCCTTTCTGTCCGCACCCCCTCCAGCACTTGTCCGTTGGGTTCTTACGCATGCGGCAGAGCTTTTCTGGAGTTGTATACCATCTAAACAAAGTTTTATATGATTGTTCTTGCATAGTCACGCATACCGAGGATGTTGCAGCCGCTTCCCATATTTCCTGCCATTCAAGCCCCTCTAGCACTTCGTTTAGATCTGCTTCCCACTTCTCAATGTATGTAATGTCTCCCCATTCCAGGGTGTGCGTATTCAGGTGAGCATACAAACAGGAGATTAGACCGCTCGGGAATTGTTCCTTGGAACATATCCTTTCGAAAAACGTCAGTGGCGTCTGTGCTGCTTTTTTTATCCTGGTATCTCGGGCATAATCTCGGAGCTGAAGGTAGCGAAAGTAATCGAACGGTTTTAATGGGGTCCTGCTCTTTAGTGTCTCAAATATGACAAAGGAGTCGCTTTCAAATAAGTGAAATAGTCTCTGCAGCCCAGCGGCTTTGAGTTCCTAGATTGCTATTTCTCAAGAACGGGGCCATTGGAGATAAGGCAGATGTCAGGCTGTATTTGATGGCAGCCGTGTCCCAGAGTCTGATAGAGGTCTGTACCGCTTGACAAGGTGCTCTGTACAGTGATCTGAGTTCCTTAGGAATCCATATCAGGAACTGGGGGAGGTCCGGGCCTGTAACGGACCGTTTTGCCCACAAGAGGTTAAAAACCGTTTAGGCGATATTTCCCTTTTTCAGATGCACAGACAGCTACTGCAAACCCACAAATTCACCAACTCCCGAACTGCAACCAAGGGAATACTCGAAACTCCCGAACTGCATATCAAGTAGTGCTCCAAACTCCCGAACTAGAGACACACGAATAGCTGTTAGCAGACGAACAGGAAAAGCCCCCAAGCGGCTTACACTCCTAGCAATCAGTCTCTAACAGCACACAGTAAATCCCCCCCAAAGATGAGACGACACTTCGGTTTGGGGGTCAAGCAGAATCTGGTTTACTGGGGCTAACTGCCCGGCTTTTATGCAGGTCTCCCACCTTGTGGACACTCCCCTAGGGGACCAAATGGGAAACTGGGAAACATATTGGCTCTTAGCCAATCACAGACATACACCTTTAAACACTCCCACAATTACATCACAATCCCTCCTCTCTGGGAAGTAATTGGGAAGTAATCCACTTATCTCCCAGGACAGAGGCAAAACTCCATTAACCACATGGCAGTAACAATACAGTAAAAGACATAAAATTACATACAGCCACATTTATTACCTAAAACATATACATTCTACATATCCCCAGATAGCTTAGATCTGAGCGCACATTACTACCAAATGGCGCTCAGATCACATACATACAGTTCAATTGCCATGGAACCAAAGTCTTTCCCATAGTCTTTCGTTACATGAATAGGCTCCATGGCTTAGCTATCTGGGGGATGCTGTTCATCTGACGAAACTACCGAATGAACAGTCATTCGGTTCTGCTTACCGAATGGGAAGGTAAGGAGGCTGGCTCAGCGGTGTCCGCGCCAATAAGTGTCAGTTTTCAGTTCCATAGTTTGGGCGCTGAACACCGCTGGCCGTTCGGGAAGTAAAATGGCCACTGCCACGTGTTCGGCAGACGAACAAAGGCCATCCAGCGTTCATCAATTAAGCTGCGGTTAACCGCAGCTTCTGGGCGGTCAGATGACGGCACACTCCAGCTCCCAGGTGGTCCATCGTTCGGTAGTTTGTTCGGTAGATGGAATCTACCGAACACCCTGGCAGAAAGGCACGAATAAACCTTTCAGCAGGGAGAATAACAGCTCTGAACTGCAGGGCTATAATCTAAAGGGAGCAACCAGGCTTCTCCAGTGCACAGTGGCGAGGTTGGTTCCGCCACATGTCTCCCCTTTTCCAGTCAGACTAACAGGGTATCTGACCTCCTGCTGGTCAGTGCCCTTGTTAGTCCAGCAGCCCACCCACAAAACAGAAACAGTAGTACAGCCCACCCACAATAAATGGTTACTACACCTGGGTAGAGGAGAAGCTTGTCCATGTCCAGGTGCCTCACCATGGCTGTGCGGGGGACTGGTAGGCTGCCTTGGTGGGTTGCTGAGTGGGCAGAGACCAGCGGTACTCTGCCCCGGTGTCAGCACTACTACGGGAGTAGTCTGGTTGGAGCCTGGTGGCTGGAGGGGGAGACCGACTGTCTCCCCTTTGGATACACAGCTCTGCTGCCAGAGGGGGAGACCGACTGTCTCCCCTTTGGCTAAGGAGCCCGGTCGCTGGGGGTAGAATCGACTGTCCCTACCCCCTGTGCTGTAAGTGCAGAGACCATGGTCCCATCTGCACGGTCGTGGGGCTTACTGTCTCCCCTGGGTATGTCAAGCTGCCGCTGGGGAGAGGGGGTAACCAGCTCCTCTCCCATATATCCTTTCAGCCGCTGGGGAGAGGGGGTAGCAGGCTCCTCTCCCTGACACTCTCTCTGCTGGTGGAGAGGGGGACCGACCGTCTCCCCTTTCAATATTTTGTCCTGCTGCTGGGGTGCGAGACCGACGTTCTCTGCTCCCTGCAGGACACCCTGCCGCTGGGGAGGAAGAACGGCACCTTCAGCTCCCTGGGACACACACTGCCGCTGGGGAGGAAGGACGACACCTACAGCTCCCTGGGACACACACTGCCGCTGGGGAGGAAGGACGACACCTTCAGCTCCCTGGGACACACACTGCCGCTGGGGAGGAAGGACAACACCTTCTGCTCCCTGGGGTACACACTGCCGCTGGGGAGGAAGGACGACACCTTTGGCTCCCTGGGACTCACACTGCCGCTGGGGAGGAAGGACAACACCTTCTGCTCCCTGGGGTACACACTGCCGCTGGGGAGGAAGGACGACACCTTCAGCTCCCTGGGATACACACTGCTGCTGGGGAGGAAGGACGGCACCTTCAGCTCCCTGGGACACACACTGCCGCTGGGGAGGAAGGACGAAACCTTCAGCTACCTGGGACACACACTGCCGCTGGGGAGGAAGGACGACACCTTCAGCAACCTGGGACACACACTGCCGCTGGCGAGGAAGGACGACACCTTCAGCTCCCTGGGACACACACTGCCATTGGGGAGGAAGGACGACACCTTCAGCTCCCTGGGACACACACTGCCATTGGGGAGGAAGGATGACACCTTCAGCTCCCTGGGACACACACTGCTGCTGGGGAGGAAGGACGACACCTTCGGCTCCCTGTAACTCACTCTGCCGCTGGGGAGGAAGGACGACAACTTCAGCTCCCTGTAATACACTCTGCCGCTGTTTTTGTTCAAAGACCATTGTCGCAAGGTTCTCAGCATTCAACTGGCGCATTACTTGGAAGACCACCTTGTTTGAAGGGTCTGGGCCATACCAGACCAACCGCCTCTTTACCTCCTCCCGGTAAGCGTCGCCCTCGTAGGGACGTGTCAGGTTGAGGTGTCCTTCGCAGGATTCTATCCAGGGTCTTGCTCGCTCCATGCTGTTGTAGATAGGGACGCTGCACGGTAGCTAGCTCTATCCCTCTATTTGTAATCCAAGCCCTGGTGTTGTCTTGTAGCTGTCCTTCTGGTCTGTGGGAACGATCCCGCCGCTTGCCACCATTTGTAACGGACCGTTTTGCCCACAAGAGGTTAAAAACCGTTTAGGCGATATTCCCCTTTTTCAGATGCACAGACAGCTACTGCAAACCCACGAATTCACCAACTCCCAAACTGCAACCAAGGGAATACTCGAAACTCCCGAACTGCATATCAAATAGTGCTCCAAACTCCCGAACTAGAGACACACGAATAGCTGTTAGCAGACGAACAGGAAAAGCTCCCAAGCGGCTTACACTCCTGACAATCAGTCTCTAACAGCATACAGTAAATCCCCCCAAAGACGAGACGACACTTCGGTTTGAGGGTCAAGCAGAATCTGATTTACTGGGGCTAACTGCCCGGCTTTTATGCAGGTCTCCCACCTGGTGGACACTACCCTAGGGGACCAAATGGGAAACTGGGAAACATATTGGCTCTTAGCCAATAACAGACATACACCTTTAAACACTCCCACAATTACATCACAATCCCTCCTCTCTGTCCTTGAGATAATTGGGAAGTAATCCACTTATCTCCCAGGACAGAGGCAAAACTCCATTAACCACATGGCAGTAACAATACAGTAAAAGACGTAAAATTACATACAGCCACATTTATTACCTAAAACATATACATTCTACATATCCCCAGATAGCTTAGATCTGAGCGCACATTACTACCGAATGGCGCTCAGATCACATACATACAGTTCAATCGCCATGGAACCAAAGTCTTTCGTTACACGAATAGGCTCCATGGCTTAGCTATCTGGGGGATGCTGTTCATCCGGCAAAACTACTGAATGAACAGTCATTCGGTTCTGCTTACCGAATGGGAAGGTAAGGAAGCCTGCGGCTCAGCGGTGTTCGCACCAATAAGTGTCCGTTTTCAGTTCCATAGTTTGGGCGCTGAACACCGCTGGCCGTTCGGGAGGTAAAATGGCCGCTGCCATGTGTTCGGCAGACGAACCAAGGCCACCCAGCGTTAATCAATTAAGCTGCGGTTAACCGCAGCTTCTGGGCGGTCAATTGACAGCACACTCCAGCTCCCAGGTGGTCCATTGTTCGGTAGTTTGTTCGGTAGATTGGATCTACCGAACACCCTGGCAGAAAGGCACGAATAAACCTTTCAGCAGGGAGAAT